ACACACACTGTGAAAACTGTGCTTACACGGTCAGCTTTGTAACTCTGCATACTGCTAACAAAAATGGGTTGTAAAAAGGCTGGTAGCCTTACTGGCTTTAGAAAAAAGTTCTTCTTTTCCCCTGCTGTTGACCTAATGTATATATATAATTTTCCAGCAAACAAGCAATTTCAAATTCAACTCCCTAAACTTCTTCTCTACTTGTATTTAGGCAAAAAGTTAGATCAGTCCAACAGCAGCCGCTCTGGTTGCGCTAATAAAATTGAAAAGGATTTCTCATTTGCCATTGGCAAGCTAATCAACGCACCGCATTTCTGCAGTTCCGTTTTGTACCGCATAATTGAGCCAAAACGCAAAGAGTTTAAGCAGCCAGGCCCGAGGAACTATTGTGAAATTTTGCTTGGCGCTCCGTTTGCTTGCCTGGGGAGGAAAGGACGGGAAGGGGAAACAGCAGTGGTGGCTGAGTGTTTGTACTGGACGGGTAACGTTAAATTTAAGTCTGTAATCTTATGACTGGAGACCAAACTTACTGCTCCATTCCCAAAAATGCTAACAGAAATAAATTATCCTTCCACATAAGAACAATATAATTACTAATTACAAATTTTCATTTGCTGAAAAGAATTAACTTGCACTGGAAAATGAACTCAGAGAGGCTATTCAAGCACAGCTGCCGCAGATTCCCCTTCTGGGACCAGGACTCCCCTCAGCCCAGAGCCAGGGTGCTTGCAGTGTCTCCCTAAGCCTCTGCAGCAATCGGCAAATGGTGCTGCTGGGATCATGTTTACCAACCAGACGACACCATTACGAAGGCTTTCAGAAGAAAGCTTTTCTTTTTTTACTTTTAAAAGGATTAAAAATACATGAGAAACCACACCACTCTTTTCTTTCCTATAATTTTAAACTGAGCAAACTACCAGTCCTGTACTCTACCAGTTTAACTCCCACCAGAAACTGTCTGATGCCCCGCCAGCACGCTGCTGCCTGGATTTTCAGTTTCCCCAAAGATTACATATATCCACCATACATGACCTGAGGTTAACCGCTCCGACGTGGAATGCACGTGGTGCCCAGCAGGCCTGTGTACGCAGACGGATTTCACCTCAGATACTCTGACTCACAGGAACACCTCGTGAGGGTGGGCTCACAACAAGGTTCATGAAAATGGTGTTTAAAAGCAAAAAAGGCAATTAGTTGATAAATACTAAGAAGAACAGCAGGCAGGGGGTGGGGGAAAAGGTTTGCTTCAGGTCAGCAGGACTGGATTTTAGCTTGGACTGAAAGAAGGCTTTCCCGCCTTTCCCACAAGGTGCTGCTGATGGCGTGGCAGAGGTCGCAGACGGCCCGCTCCTGCCTGCTGCGGGCAGAGCACTGCTCCCTAACTGCTGCTGCCCAGCCGATATTGAACAGGTAACTGCTGGCTACCGCACGGCTTACATTCAGCGATTACAAGCTTTTCTAGCGTATTTAGGAGCATTGTGGTTAAACTGACTGTTGGCAGCGCCAGGGGAGCAAGGCTGACTGCTTGGCTGGGGTGTTGGGACCTGCACCAGGTGGGCCTGGCCCTGGGCATCAGGGACAGAGGCCACTCACACATCTCACGCTGCCAGGGACCTGCTTGCCGCTGTTCGCTTAGCAACGCGTCACCTTCCCGTCAGAGCAGGAAACATGGGACCCCTCACTTGAAATCTTGCGGCCATCTCTCCAGCCAGACGCTGCCTGCTGGAGATGCTGCAGGTTGAGTTAGTACCAGCTGTCATCACACTGTCGCTGAAGGGAATCCTTTGTCTGCTTCAGGGTGACAGGCTTATTTTCCCCCTCCCTAAGTGCAGAGTTCCTTAGCATGGTCTGGAAGATCTCTGAGGGCATACACAGCTTTCAGAAAGGCTTCGCAGTCTTTTTGAGGACCCTCATGCCTGCCACAGCACATCATGAGCAAAAGCACTGTGGTGGCTGTTGCACTCATCTGCAGGAGATGAAGGTTGGCTTTCACTTGGGACATATTTAACAGGAATGGCTTCCCACGCAGAAGAGACAATATTCATGCAGTAGTCGGGAGCTGTGGGTATTTCAGAAAGCTCAGGCTTCCCTTCTTACACTCTCTCCCTGCTCCTCTCTTCAGAGCAGCAGCAGCACCACTTGTATCAACACAAAGAGCTGGCCCACTGCTCAAGGCACTGCAGGTAGCCGTATCTGGGCAGCTAACTCCTCACCACGTTAAATAGCTTCTTCTGGAGTCCCCCAGGTGATGCTGGCAGGAACGGAGGAAGCAGCAGCTTCTCCTCAGTCTCAACACTACAGGGATCCTGGATTTTTTTTTGGACAGACAGCTGCCCCACTGGTGGCCCTGTCACCTCTTTACAGAATACCAGATCATCAAGACTGATTTCAATTCTTTATAAAAGCATAAATACAGAACAAAGGTGTGCAGTAAATATATTTAAATAAAAATTGACAAGATGCATTTATTGTTTTCAATTTGTACAAAAGCATAACTTAAAAGGCAGACTAGTATAAACTTACTTTGTGCCAAATATTTAAACTTCGTTCCAAAGAGTTTCTGGTTCAAAACTTGTAGATACAGTTTCCACCTGGGAAATCTCCTTTTTAGACCACAGATAACACAGTATTGTAAAATCAAAATTCTGCAGTCCTTCGACCAAGAAAAAATTGCATTCTGCTTCGAGTGCCAGAGTTTTAGCTACTCAGTGAATGGGCCGAGTGGAAGATGAGCCATGCTGGAGTGACCTGATGAAAAGTCAGTTTGCCTACTGCTCGTTCGTGTTCTGAAAAAAGATGCGTGTTAGGATCTGTGACATGCAATCTTAGCAAAGACTGATAAATACATGTGTGAAAATAGGGTGATATGTTTGGATTATCTTTGCTACTTCGTACCAGGCAGAAGTAGCATAAGAAAACCTGTGTTACTTAGGCGAGTCCCAGATGTCATGCAGAAGCTCAATTATTCCTGAAATAAAAGAAAGTTTTCACTCTGATTTTGCAAGTGGGTTTTCCTTTGCACATGTAACATTTTCTCAGCCAGCCTGGAGGGTTTTCTCAGTCTTTGCTGCTACCACCACAGCTGTACCTGCCTTCCAACTCGGAGGGTGGAGCGGCATCTTTGCTGACGGCATCTCCACAGACATTCACCTCCACTGGAAAACAACCTCCCCCCAAGAACAAGCAGGGTGCGTCCCCAAGATGCCCTTTCAAGAGCCTCTGAAGTGAGAATGTTACTCCAAAAGCTACTTTTCCCACGCAACAGGGCTTGCTGTGCTTCAGTGCTATCGAGGGCTGGCGCAAAGCTAGACACACGTTCTTGTCATCCAGTATCCAAGTGCAATGTCGTGGAATTTTAAAATGTGGTGGATGCACTGTGTGACAGCAGCCGTACAAGAAAAGGTGTGCAGCTGCACAAGTGTTCCACAAGACCATCTGGAGGAAAGTACCAAAAATAGATGCGAGTAAGCCTCGTGTACTTCAGCAAAATTATGCATGAAGAAACTGGTGTCCATGCAGTGTTTGATATGCCGTACAAACTCGTTCAAATAACGTTTGATAAGAAAACTATTTATCAGTGAAAATGCAAGCTTAGACACTACGAACAGTTTACATCTTGTAGGTGTTCACTGATATGGGACAGTGGCGTTATGACCAGGGGGTGACCTTAAAGTAGGTTACCTGTGGGTTTCCCAATGAGCTAGTGTCTTATGGTGCTGTACAAATAAAAAGTTGCGGGGAGCATATGAAATATCTGTATTAAACTCCGCATTAAGTCATCCAATGCATGAAAAAATGACCCAGATGCATTTAAAATAAATGCATATTACAATATCACATACAGTATTATAAAATTATTACTTGTGTGCACAGTCCTGCTATCTACAGACATGGCACTGTGAAGAAAGCCTGGTTCCTAAGCACTGTTACAGATACTTGATAGTGATGCAGTTTGCTGTCAGTCGGATCATAATGTCCCTTCAACTTTGGTACATTCAGTGCAAAATATTTTTGGGAGTTTTTTACTCTTATAAAAATAAAAGGCATTTTTTTCCCCTTGAAAGTGCTTAAAGAATAAACACTAGCAGAATGTCTGTTCAAGCATGGAAAGTGACAAAAAAAGAAACAGCGGTTTAGTTTGCTTGTTTCCTGTTTACACTCTAAGAAACATAATATAATGAACCTATAAAAATAAACAGAAGTCACCGTGTTAGGGCTTTTTTCCTGATATGCTGTGATAAATTGCTAGGTTCTTCTTAAAACAGTTTCCATGCAGTATAAAGCATAAAATCAGTCTTATTAAGTCCAGTATAACAGCTCATCTTTTGTCATACACGCCACTGGCAAGCACATTTCCACAAACCTCCTTCACACAAGCCGTCGTTGTCACATCCTTCGTTGCTGACTTTCCTTTCAATTCACTTCTGCCCCAGGAACTTGAGCTCTGTGGCGCACACCGCGCAGCCACTCAGTCTTAGGTCAAGCGAGTACTGGATGTACTGTTATAACACGGGGCATAAAGTAATGTACCTTCAGGAACTGAAAAAAAAAAAATCTACTGCATGATTTTTTGATCATTTACTGGGTAGGTAAGGGGCTGAATGATTTCACATTTCCACTTGAATTTCCTATTCAACAGCTTTGACGAAATCCAGGTTTCAGGTACATGTCAGTTTTGCAGTAGCCAGGTTGATCACCACATGGGATCACATCTCTCGTTTGCTCAGAACATAAATTTAAGAAGTTTGGTCATCTTGAAAAACCATGGGTTGCAAGACGTGGTTTTCCCTGCACATCAGCCACACTCTAGTTTCACTGTAGAGAATTCTGCCACTATCACAATGCTTTTTCATTGCTTCGTAAGCTCTTTCATAGAACCTCATGATTTGAATTGCACCGTGAAACAATTTTCCTCTAGGAAATCCAATATAAGCGTTCATTCATTCCTTGAGAAAACAGATCCACAACAGTCCAATGAGCTGGGCACTGTGGTTTGTGTATCACTCCAGTCCAAAAGTACTTGTCTCTTCAACTGCTGTCAACAGTTTTTCATACAGCATAGAGAATGATGGATAAGGGGGAAGGTCCAGGCGATTGAAACAAGTGTGAGCCCTGAGGGGAGGGAAAAAAAAAGAGGCGGTGAAGAAGCACATTATTTAAAAAGTTCAAAAGAGAACATGCAGACTGGTATGTGCTTGCGTAGAGATGGGCAGATAGTACGCTTTCAGATGACTTTGTTCTGTCAAACGATGTTTTCCAACTGAACAGGTAGTGAAGTTTAATCTACTTTCTTCTAATTAAAATAAGCCAGTAAGAAGCATTTATGGAGGTCTTCAGAAACGCACTGACAGCCCAAAAGGCATGGAGTAAATTTTATCCGTTAAATGTGCATGAGAAGAGAATGATACAGCATGGTACAGTTCGAGTAGTCTGTTCTGAAGTCTTGGCTTTAAATATATCTTCTGAGAAACAGTATTTTTTTCTATACTGATGATACTTGAATACTGTATTCGTATTCATAAACAAGCTATTTCAGTACTTTGAATATGCCTAAGATATCAGATTTGCTGAAAAATTAGAAAATACTCTAGATACACAGGAAACAATCCCACAGTAGAAAAGGACAGCCAAATTCGATGTTCTTCCTTCTACATTTCCTTGGCATATGGATCATATTCTTGGGAAGTTATTATTTGTGCTGATTTACCCTCTGTACCTGGGTTTTACCCTATGGCCCTGCAAGCCAACGACTCTAGAATAATAGTTTTTGTAATTACACAAAACTATGCATGTACCTCTAGCACACCACCCAGCTGTCTTAAGAGGGCAACCACGTGGTTTATTTCTCAGTTTCCATAGTCCGTCAAGCTCACTTTTTTTACATACTTGGAACTGACTCTTGAAACCTCTTCCAGGGAAAGAAAAGGGAGATAATAAAGGCTTCTCCTCATAGCAGAATACTGGATATCATTGTCTGACCTCAAGGCAGGCTAAGGATTCTACCTTCTAAAACACTATGGATGTGGATGATCCTGCTCTAGTGAAGTAGATAACTTTTAATGCAGTGGCTTCTTGAGGAAGAAATGATGCAAAGAGAAGCTGGAGAAGGCATCTTTTCTGCTTTGAAGCTTTGTACCAAAGCCTCACCTTAGGCTGATTTTAGAGGATAAAAACCTTTTTGTATTTTGGCAGGTGTCCATTTACAAGAACTTTACTCTTCTGCAACAAAACACAGTTATTTAAATACAATCCAGCTGAAAACCAAACCTTCCTGCAGTGACCTGCCTTTCATCAGTATGATCTGTATTAAGTGTAAATGTGTAACGTCAACCCAGCGACTGAACAAGCTCCTTCCTTGCAGCAAATGCAACTCCTCATTTAATGCACTCACTCCCAGAAATTCGAGTGCCTATGACAGACCTGTACTGAACTTTCTCTGAGCCAGAAAGTGCTGCCTTCCATGGGAGCAAATTTATTATTAATTGCTGTTTTAAGTGGCTCTCAGCTGCTGATTATGGGGATGGAACATGAGGTGAAGTGGGTTAATCTCGTTTGTTAAAAACATGAGAGTCCATTACATACCCTCATTGAAGGTGAAATATTCACTCAGTTACTGCCTTACAATGTCATAAAATTATCAGGCTGAAGAAATGTACACACAGTACATGAGGTCACACTTACTATAAATGCAGCCCAAACATCAAATACGCAATCACTTTGAAAAGCATTGACATTTTCACACTGCCCAAACACAACCTGCTTAGAAGCACGCTGCTAGTACATGCTGTATAGCAGAGAGGGCTTCTCCCCCACCCAAGTATTCCAGGGGTCTGGTAAGATTTCTCCACCCCTCCATCTCTCCACAGCTCCTGGAAGGCAGCTTTCTTTGTAATACTTGTTTGCGTTTCCAAAAACCTTACAAAGTATCTGTCATATAGATGAAATTATTATTGCATTTCTGCACTTTAAAAGGGAGGGGGAAAAGAAAAAGAAAGTGTGATTTAAACCCAAGAGCAAATGGGCATGTGGAACTCAGTGATCCCTGGAGTTCAGTGCAGAGTGTGGAAGAGAATCTTAGGCAATTAACAGTCTAACCACATGCTTCTGCTGCATGGGGCTGACAGCCACTCATTATAACTATGGATCATGCTGTGTGGGCTGTAAAACCACAAATTATAAAAGACATAGTATACAATTAGCAAGGGATTCATTATAAACTGGTTTAATAGTAAGCCGGCATGTTGTTTACATTTATTAAGAGAACCGAGTTTTATCTTAATTTTGAGGGCTATTTTGAAAACGCAATCACCTACTTTGGAAAACCAAGTCATTAAAAAAGACAAAAACTTCAGATCTTTGTCTTCTGAGGGAATGTATGCCTTTCTCACCCCAGCAAGCATCTTGGTAATTCCTCAAGAAGACAGGGTTTTTTCCTCTGGACAGTATTTTCCCATTCCAACATCTCAAACCACGTGGGCACTAACTGTCCGTCTTCCTGGACTCCCATTTATGACAACATGAAAAACCATCTTGGTTCCTAAAGTCTAGGCTCCCAGTTCATCGCAGGGCTGTTCACATGCTACTGACTTCTTAGTGTGGAAGACAGTGAGTGATACCAGCTAGGCAACCTGACACACCCCTCACCGAAATCTCACTATTTTGATTTAACAGAATTGATTAAACAGCAGTCAGAACAGTGGGAAGTAGCTAAACATCTAGTGAATACTTCTGTGCTTATATTCACAGCTACTTAGACCACAATCACATACCTAAGTAGCTGTATTCATTAGCTTCTGTGTCCTAAAATCAGGAAGAAGAGATGGGGATGGATATTCCTAGGCATTTTCAGCAGTGTAGTAGTTTTTTTAGAAACAGAGGAAGAAAAAAAGTCCACTAGTCCTAGCCTAGCTTTTACCACCCTCATACCAAGTATTGTCAAGTTTCACAAGCACTCCCACTGAAATCAAAAGGGCCATTTGCGAGCGTAACACTGCTACGAGTGAGTGACGGTGCCTTAACAGAAATGCTTCAGTTATCTGAGAATCAGGAGGAGTCAGAGAGTCCTAGGGCAGCGCTCTCAGCAGATCCAGCCATGTTTGCACATGCAAGGCTTGTTTGGAAACCTCTAGAAAGTTTGCTACTCGGGGTTGTTGTTAACGATGTCTTACCTTCAAGCCAGTACTACTTGGTGCTTGCACGATAAGTCTTCAAAGCTGGTGAGATGCAGGCTGAAGCTACACTGCACGCAGGAACTAGGTATGCAAAAATGCAAATACGGCTTTCTGCTTAGCCCATTTACCCAAAAACATGGCAGATCACTTATTTTTTATGAGACCAAGGTTCAATGTATGAAGGACAGGAATGGCCAGCTCGTGACAACTCTGTATGTTGGCCATACACAGTTGTTTTTATGTTAACAAAATAAGTGTGGTGTTAGTTTAATTCTCACACTTGTATGTCAAAAAACTAAAAAGAGATAAAAATGAAATGTTTCTTAATCAAGGGAAGCATAAGCAAAATCCCAAGGGCATAACACACTGTCCTAAATGTGAGGAGCTGGCATTTCCCCTATACCTGCTGAAAAAAAATTCTCAACGCATTTCTCCACGCTGCACCACAGCAAAGAGTTTTATTCTGCAGTTCATTACAACCAGGGTTCTACTTAGCCTTTTCCAGAGGAAATTCTGATCATCCTGTTCTGACGTGTCCTGACCTTTTCCATGCTGCAAGCTGTACTTCTTAGCACCAGGGATTCCAGTCTTAGAGAATGTATGGAAAAGCTCACCCAATCTCTTTTCTTACTTAAACTCAAAAGAAGATCTTGTATTTTGAAGACAGAAATGAATTTTTTTTTTTTAAGTTATTCTTTTGAAACTGGAATAGCAATTTCCAGATTTTGCTTATGTTTAATCATTAGTTGCCTGGCTGTTGCTTGTGCTGTAAACAGGCAAGACGTCTTTGTTTAAAGGCCAGCTGCTGTGGCCGTGGATGTCACAGTGCCACTTCTGTCCTGGACTTTCTCAGTGCAGTTCAAAAGGCAGCCTGCAGGCAGGAGCCAGCCTGAAAGACGTCTCTGCCTCTGACCTTACGCTGGCAGAAAAGCTAAGGGTTGTCGGTCAGAGAACTCTGCTGAGGAATGCTGAAGAATCTTGTTTAAGAGGAATGGGCTGGGATTAGGGTTCAGCCCAGCTCAAAGCTACCACCGGCGGCTATAAGCAGCATACAAGCCGAGATCTGAATAAGCAGAGTTAGCTCACCCACACTTCGCACACTAATCTGTACTTCTGACCATTGATTAACCCATTCTAGAGGCTACGGAGGTACAGAACTGGATGAAAGGAAATCTTCTAGAAACATATCAGCCTTACCATAATACAGAAAACTCTATAACCTGTCTTTTTTGTCAATGAAGTGTTCATGCTAGACGATGTTTTGTACATCATTCATGTCATTAGTTTAGTGCTGGTATTGTTCCCTTTGAAAACAACACTGTTGTTACAAAATGGAAGATTTAGAAAAGCCATGGGTTTGGGTTTTTTTTAACCTCCTCATCATACTCCTCCAAACCCACCATTACCCAATTTAAATGCTGCCTCTTTTCTGCAAGGACTTGTACAACTCAACTCCTGCTTTCGCATCTTGGACTCTCATTCTGTTCCTTTACCCTTTCTCACATTTCAATTGACTCTATTTGTGCTCTTTGAAGTCTTCACCTTCCCTTGTCCCGGTGCTGCCTCTTCAGTCAAATGACCCCCTGCTCAAAATACACCTCTTCTGCAGTTCATAACTTGTCCATTCCATATTTGTTAACACTCCTGACATCAGACTAAGCATAAAGACTACAGGACTAAACTATACTGTAAAGACTGTCTGTGTCTAATCTCAAAAGTCTGATACTAGCTTTCACTCAGAGTCACAAGTGTTATTTAATTTTAATTTCTATTCATCTTTGCTCTTGAGTGATGAAACGCATGTTCAGGAAGTAAATACTTGCACATTTAATTGAACTACAACAAAATCAAATTCAGAAGTAGTTATCATTCTACTACAATTTTCCATGAAAAAAGTATTACGATATGAATGTCAGCCACAGTTACATTGCCTTGTCCATCATGCCAGAAAAACACTGACTTCAAAGAAAAATGAATACATCAGGCACTGGAACAATGAGGAAGTAAATTTCCATGTAAGGTATAGTCTATTTGCATATTCAGTTAACACCTGTTTGTGTTTCCCAAACAACTTATCTGTTGTACCCGTAACGGATATCCTAAGTTATCTCAAGTGTTAATACACACACATTTGTACCTTGGAAGAGCAGTGATCTTCCCCCACTTCTCTACGCAGAACCTCCTCGGACCATTGCTCCCCCGTAGAGAGGCAAATCCTTCATAAGGGATGCTGGACGTGCCCGTAACAAACTGCCAGCACAAACAAAACATCACAGATATTGGATACACAGATGGTGCGGGATAGAAATTTATTTATGTCAGCATACCCACTGAAGTCCAAACGCTTATGTAAGAGCATTTGCAAAATAAGGAAATTTATGAGGCTCAAGTAATAAATGCTACTTTACATGGAGGATAAGGGAAAACAGACCATCCCCTGATGGGGCTTTAGAGAAGACAATTTACCTGTCTAATTTCCTTCGAAGGCTTCTCTTTGAAAGAGTAATTATGCTACACAAATGCTGTACAATAAAACACAAATATCAGGTTACTTACACTTGGGCCTAAGTGAGTTTTTCCCCTACTGTCTTTATTCTGCATTAAGAGGAATCAACAGAAAAGTAATCGTGAATGCTAATGATTTCAATGATAGGCTTTTTTAGCTATGTGGATTTCAGTATCTTTATAAATCATTATGAGATACTATAAGAAAAGGACTAAATTCTGAACGTTAAGTAGAATGCCCACTGATATTTGCTGAAATGCTGCTTGTTGTGCGTGGTTTTTGACAGATCAGAGGCTACCTAATTTTTAATGATCTGGGTAAGTTAAAACTTTTGACTAACAGATGTGATAGGAACATATAAGCAGACATCTCTGTCTCTCCATCAAATGAGATGTCCTGCACTGCTTTTTACAGACCTTTTTAATGTAATCAAACAGATAGAACCAGAAAATCCTTCATCATACTCATATAGGTAACTTGGGTGATCAGATGCAAATTATGATTTGTGAAAAACTGGATTTCATAACATATCAAGAACATGGTATGGAGTTTGGGGTGAGGTTTTGTCTGCTTCTTTACAGATATGATGAACATAACCTGAATTAAGAAAAAAAAATAACTCAATGGTAAACCCACATGTATAAATATTCCTCTATCGAGAGGTTTTCATCCTTGATCATCAGGATGACTGGATCCTGCAGAATGACTTAGTGAAAATGGAACTGGAGTGATTTTCAGGTTTTCATCATTATTTTCTGATTTGGGGGCCTCTAACTTCCAGCTAAGCTCTCTTCTTCGTAAGCTGTACAAATATTATTAAAATTCCTACCTAGCAACATAACTAATTCCATTGGTTTCTACCTTCACTAGTCTTAATGTACTTTTAATCCAACAATATTAAAGGATTACTGACATCAGATACTTTATCTTAAATGTATTTTTTAAACTTAGAAGTCTGTAAAAATCCCTGCGAGCTTCAGTCACTCTGAAGGCCATGTTATTCCCCCTAGCCAGCATCACCATCATTTTTGGATTGCATAACCCGGATGGCACTAGTTTAGCCACTGACATTAATGACACACACTGTTTCTACACAATCAGCTGATTTCTCACCTGTAAGAGTCTTAGTCGTTGTTCATTGTTGAATCTTTCCACAGCAGCCCAGAACCACCGAATTACAATGTGATTGTCATGATAACCTGATAAAACAAGAGAAGCCTTTATACCCTCAGGTGCTACAAAAGCGGTTGAGAGAAGAGTTAATAAGTTTTTTCTAGTTTGGCCCTAGTCACAATAACTATCACCGTATTTCTTACCCGATATCAGCAACAGACAGGAGGTGAGAGAACACTACTCCTAAATGCTTAAAAAAAAAATCTTCAGGGCAGAGAATTAATTTACTAGGACAAAAAGGAGAGGAATTTCTTTTGCAAGCATTTCTTCCATTAATCTATTACTAACAGAAATGCCAATTCTTGAAATATTCTAATGCTGTGCTTTTTGTACATTTAAAGCTACAAATGATGCTGCAACCACCTCTCTCAAAGTAGTTCCCAAATCTTCCATGTTTCTCAGGTAATCTCAACTGCCCTCAACTGCGAGCCTGCAGTCACTGGGATTACTTCTAATTTCCTGTCTTCACTGAGAGTGGAGAAGAAGGAGATGTTACTAAGAATGGGCACAGGTTCCCTTTGTCTCCTGTGTCTGTGTGCTGCTCTACTCGTGTGCAGGGGAGCACAGCATTTGGTGCGGAGGGGAGCGCTCTGTTGTGCTGTCCAGACAAAAACAGTAAGGGAAGGGCTGCATGGGGAAGCAATGAAGCAAACGGAAATGGACAAATTACCTTATCCTAATGCAAACTTAACCCCTGAAATTCAGAAATCACTGAAGATGTATCTTATTGCCATGGTTCTTCAGTGTCTTAGAAAGGGGGTAATTGCAGGCCCGCCCAACAGAGTCAGTGAACAATTCCAAGGTTACCTCCTCTATACTCCGTGTTGTTTCTCCAATCGCTCAGGTCAATTTCTGCTGTTCCAGCTATAACCAGTTCCAGTTCCCGGGCATCAAACACCGACACGAGCCTCGCATCAACCACCTGTGAAAGGAAATAAAATGCTCAGCAACATTCTTCGTCGACTGAGTTTTGCCTCCCCATGAATGGCTTGTCTGCTAATCTTGTGAGGTAACATTTCTCTCACAAATGGAAAGAATTACGGTTTGGGTTTTTTCATTTTCAAGCCAAGTAAATGGAGTTCTTTTTCTTATGCTGCAGTTCCACTCAGTTTTGTTAGATCACCACAGTGACTGGGGGAGAATTTTGTTGGCAAATAACACTGAATTATTTCAGAAAAAAACCACAGTTCAATACATCAATTTAGTTGTCCAGGTTAAGAGAAATATCTTGGAATATCTTGGTCTATCACGTTACACCAAGTAGGGCAGGCACACAAAAAACCTCAATGGCCCAGTGAAGAAAGAGATGGGTCACTTCAGCAAGCATTCACTGCCAATCACACAGTGATCAATAGTATTTTCCACTGTAAACACGATACATAACCACAGTGTTTAAGTCAATGACTAACAGCGATTCTCCCCCTTCCCAGATACCTGTAAGGGCACTTCTGCTTATATAGGTAACTGCTTCTTGGGACTCTGCATTTGGGAAATGTATATGAGAAGAAAAATATTTTGGGAGGATAAAGGAAGAAAGTAGATTTCATTTTAGAGATTTTTACCTCATAGAAACCACGAACTAGACTTTCTGTCTGTTGTACAACTCCTCTCTCAATCCTCCATTTCACCATCCTTTCTATATATTCTTTCTTGTTCTTTTCAGTGACTGGGATGTTGGCACCTCCTGGCTTTAATTCTCGTTCTGTGATCTTCAGAAAAAAATGACCAAGTGACAACACAGTATTAACTTTTAAGTTGAAGTAATTCCTCAAAAGCACTAGCCAAGACTGCCTTTAGCAAACTGAAATACGTGAAATCACAGAACATAAACTTTTTTTTTTATAAAATCTTATTTAGAATCCCATTTAGTCTGAAGAATCTTCATATTTAGTTCGAAGAATAAGATGAGAAGAAAACCCAACCTTTACAGCAATTAAAGTAGTGAAGTCTTCTAAATAATATCGTAACAAAGGTGGTGTAATACCTTTGAATGCTAACTCTGCTCCAATTAAATTCAGCTAAACTACCTCCAGCAGAGCAATACAAAATGTGGTACTTCAGACAGTCTTCAGAAAATCTCCTTAACCAGAAAGACACGTTTGACCGGTTACAAATAATAATTCCTCTTTAGATTTCAACACTGTTTTCATCAACCATAATTGTATTAAAACAAGTTTAGATCAGCATGGAATGACAATCATTTTTCTGTCCAAATAATGTTTATCTGGCAGTAGAATACACAAAGGAAATTAAATTAAAAGTTTTGCACACCTGCCCAAAAACCTCTTCATTTACAGTAAATGTGAGATCTAGGATATCATGTATATCATTGTCTTTCATCCACTGCAAACTCTGGTGAAACTCCTCATCGAGATATTCCAGGTCACTCAGGTCACAGAGTCTAACATAAACAGGAAGAAAACACACAAATACAGATGACAGCAGTAGCATGTGCTCAGAAACTGAACTCAGATAGGGCAGTCCTGAAAAACAGATTGAGAATAGGAGCCAAAAGAAAAATCAATAGAACAGAGAAGACACTACTTCACTGTTTATTTGCCTAGTAATAGCTGCTACTGTATAACACAAAATGGCTTTGTTAGTGTACAAAATTCCAGAAATTATTAATTTGCATACATTTCTTCTTAAGCTTAGGGATCTGTCCCATGCTGCCTGGGACATTATTTTGGAATATGAATATTTTGGAATTATGGAAATACATAGACTGAAGAGACAAAAAGTTCAAATCCTAAAAGAAATGGTAAGTTTTTGTACCAAGCAACTACTATCGTTTTTGCTTATGTGACTATACTGACACCTCTCTTGTCTCTTCATTGTGCAGATACCCTGCTTATCACAGAGATATCTGTTTACTTTTTGTCTTATTTCCCCTTACCCAATCCTTCTTTTACAAAACCAACCTATAAGCCAACAGCCCCTTGCTGTTTTCAATAGTTACTACTCCAAGTTTTAACATGGCAGCTGTTGCTAATACTTAATACCATGGTGGTAATTTCTGCCATTCTTCTTAACTCCTTGAATCCCGTTCTGTGTGACAGGACACTGGGGCTATGCATTAAGTAAGGTGCTTTTCAGCTGCAGGGTTCCCTGCCTGCTTCTATGTTTGGGTCCCTATAAAGTCAGAAAAAAGACTTGTACTTTTATTTGGACGCTTAAGTGTAGTTGAAGTGACACCCTGCAGTAACAGCCCTTACATCAAAGGTGATGGATGGGGCACAATGTCCCATCTGCAGAGGCAGTCTGGATGGCTCATCAGTTCTGAGGAAAGCCCAGGTACAAGGCTTGGATGGGGAAGTTGCATGAATTAGGCTGTGTACAAAGGTGGCTGCCCCGTAATTTTTAATTCTACTGTTTCGAGAACCACCAAGTTGAAGAACTAACTTAATTTGGCAGTCACACAGTAATAGTATTGAAGTCCATTTGGGGTAAGTCGTCATTCTTACCAAAATGATGCTGTTAGCATGCAGGTACTTTTAAAATACATATGCAATAGGAGTGCATGCGTTACTCCACAATACTATACTGTATGATGTTTCACACAAAAAATATCCTTGCAGACTTCTCAAAACCAGCTTTCAACTCGAGGACAAAAGGTGAATGAACCTTAAGTTCATTATTCCATGAATTCCAGACATGCTGAGAAAGTGCAGCTCTCATTGTTTCAGCCAAAACAGGAGGAGTAGTTCTAAAAACAAAGTCTAAAGTATATAAAAATAAAGCTCTTCAAAATGGAGCTTGCCAACAATCAGTCTACCTCTGAGAGTGGGTCTTGCAGTCTAAATTATGAAGTGATTCATATCCCATCCTGTGAGTCATCACCAAACAAATGAGTAAGAACTCTATTAATATCTGGAATAAAACAGCATTTCATTGTACAACTTCAAACGTAAGATTTTGTAAAAGAAGGCTGACAACATGGCTAAAACAAAACATGAGGTTTTCATACTGATCAGAAGCAACATTCTGAGTTAGTAGGTAACTGGCTAATTACCATAAGCAGAAACAAGTAAACTTTTTCAGAAAGTCCTGAATTGAAATGAAATTATTAAATTATAAATAATGGCCTGTCCTTGATGATAAAACATCATAATTTATCAATACACAAAATGGCATGGGGAAGGAACCAGACAACAAAGGAGACAGAACAAGTCTACTCACATTCGGAGGAGGGCTTTATAAAAAGGTCGTGTAAAAAAGGCATCTAGCAAATACTGATGTATCAGAGCAAGACCAAGAATTCGACCACTAAACCTGAACCTGGAAGAGAAAGCGTTACAATCATTGTACTGATGCTCTGTGGTTTGTACACTGCTCTGTCATCAAATCTTACATATATTTCCAAACAGCATTTTTAAATCAGATAGCTGTGTCTGAATTGCAGTATCTGGGTGTTTGGTTTGGGGTTGTTTTTTTTTTCCCCCTCTTATGTTTCTTCTACATTCTCAGTAAGGCACAGAAAAAACAAAACAGCAAGTCTGCAGGGCATGGAAAATCCCTCAGATACCTATATTGCAACTTGTCGAAAATGTCAAATCCATATTAACCCAATCAACCACTGCCAGACTGGCCTCTACACAAGCGTATATTCCAAAACAATAGCCACCGTCTCTTTTCTTTACACACCCTATATACAATTTACTTGTTTGCATGTTACTGGGAGGCCAAAGGTTTTTCTGCCCTTTCCCAGACTGACAGTTCTTATTGTCTGTCTTTTCTGCTTACAGTGGCTCCCTGCTCCCTCTTCTGACTCGTGATTATGGAGTTCTGTAGTTATGGTCGCGAGCAGTGGCTGGGAGCTTTTTTGCTGCTTTCCAGCCATATGTCAGTAGGATCTAAATTATCTCCTTCTCTCCCCTCTCCCTCTTTTCCCCTATTAATTTAATTTTCTTGGGTGTGTAAGGAAGGTTTGGGGGGGAGGGAGGGAGTTTGACAGATTTAAGATCAGATGGCAGCGGCTTTGAAACAGCAGGGCCTTTGCCAATATTCCCATGAGAATAAAGATCCATCGTGAAAGACCTACCACATCTCTGAACAGGATTTAAGTCTAGTGTTCTTTTTCAAACTCTGTTTATCCATTTTTACCAACATTTTTCTTGGAAAGATTAGGGCTTTACTATACCTGCCTGTACACAGTTTTCAAGAGGATATAACATGCACAGCCTTCCCCCTCCATGCATAACTGCTTCTTACAGCTGCATTTTCCAAATTCCCCCTGGGGCTGTACAAGACCAGTGCTGTCACTGGCACCAGCTCTCCGAGAAAGAGAGGGGCCATGCCTCCCTCACCCCTAGGGTCTCCAATCCGGCACTACAGAAGCCAGGGATTCATACAGAACACTGGCAGAAGCTACGGAGCACATAAGGTTTCTTCTCCCCCTTTTGCCCGACTGTTCTGCTTTTCCAATACCGCATGTGCCGTTTATTGTTGCAGCACTGGAGGTCAACAGGTAAGTCGCTTCAACTAACGCAACTGTATGGAGCCAACCACTCAATTTTCTACTTTTTAGAACTAGTAATGATATTCCTTTGATACTCATTCTTCATAACTGGCTTCCAAAAAATAAGAACTCAGTACCTATCTGTCCTACACAGGTGAGCAGCTGTCAAGCCACTCTTGCTGTAATCTAGCTAGCTACACAACAGGATTCTCTGTTAACATTCACCGTGCAGCTTTAGAGACACAGCGATGCCATGGCTTACATCAACTGAGGGCGATTTAAACTGCCTCAGAGTGGTGAAAATGGGATTATGCAAAAACCCTGTTTTAGATGTGTGGATGTACAGACTTCAAGAGCTATGTAATCAGCAGTCTCCTCCCACACCCTATTAAGATACCTCCATAGATTTCCTTCCAACAGATAGGTTGGTTTTCTCCACTGAGGAGACCTCTGTACTCTTTAGGAAGATTCAAATTACATAGAGTAACACCTGTTTGAAATCTCCCTTATCTCCTCAGCTGACAAAAAGCCAATGTTGGATTCTTTTTTTTTTTTTTTAAATGCACAAGGAACTAATATTGCTTTCATGAAATGACTGCTAATGTACAAGAATCGCAGAGAGTTTTGCTGTGAGACAATCCCATGGTACACATTCCAAACTGCAGATTTGCTGACCTTGTGAGAAATAAGATGATTTAAAACCACAAGAGGAAAAAAAAAAAACCCAAGAAAGTATTATTTTGCTGATGGTTAAAAATATCAGAGTCTGTGTTACATGTTTGAGCAAACAGGAGCAGTTGTCTGCAAGTGGGAACAACTGAGAACGTATCTGAAAAACAAGAAGAAAAAACTTCTTACCACTCATGATGATTGTCTACAAAAGCAGACATGGGACTTATTTGTACGGTATAGGTATCGTTGGCTGAATACTCAAACAAACCATAATAGGGATTGAAGAGCTCTCTAGACACCAGGAAAAAAAACTCTCTTGAAGGCCCACTGTAGTCCAACCTTTAAAGAGAAACTTGACGTTACTATAAAGCGTTCGCAGTGTGCAAAGAAATGCGGTGTTGAATCTACATTCCTTACACTATACTTTAATTACAATCTCGTAATATTTTAACCAGAATCCTTATCCTGCAGATTGCTTAATGCCAAGGTATGTGAAGTCCTTGCGGGGCTATTCTGAAATGGCTTGGAGGACTGGAATGAAATGCTCTGTGTGGGCTGCTCCTATCAAAAATTTTGGCTCCAGCTGTAATGGCCTCTTTGCCACAGGAATATAACCAAATAACTGGGTGGGGGAGGAGGGAAGAAACATGAAGAGTGCCAACAGTAGACCTATCTGCATCTGACAAATAAAGAATGAAAATGAACAATGGTCATATTTTGTCCTTGCAGACATGTAACAATAGGACAATTTAAGGGTTAATATTTGTATTCTCCCTAGCAATATAATCTCAGAATACTTCAGTGATTTATCTTTCTTGGTCAAAATTTTCTTGTCTGTCTTCCAAACTTGAGTGTATTTAAGTGTCTTTTGGAGACTGCATTTCCTTTGGTATTTTTTGCTATTTCAAGATTCTAGTACTAATGAGCAAGGAATCTAAATAACCCCTTCTTCCCAAATCATAAACAAACTCACTGCTGACAAAGCACAAGACTGAATTTTGACATTATGCTGCAGATCACCAGTGAAATGAGTTAAGTTCATGCTCTGCTAGAGTTGGAAAATCATACCTGACTTTTAAGAAGGTCTTGCTTTTGTACTAAGACAACGCACAGACAGAAGTATCACAGAGAAGGTCAGCTTTCATACAGGACTTCTGCCACCAAGGTTTTAGCTCACAACTTTTTACGGAAGACATACATAGACAAGAGATGGTTTTGAGGATGAAGTTGTCAGGAAAATAAAGGGTAGGTGCCATTATCAAGTTGAGGACGAGGCCTCTTTCTTCTGTTGAACAAAAAGCATTTTCCCCTCAGTCATTTGGAAGCACTTGGCTTCTGTTAAGCTTCAGAAGTGAAGTACAGAAACAGATCTTTACCCTGGAGAGGAGACCAGATTCCATCCTCAAATTGCAAAGAAAACCCAAAACGGTTTGATATCATGGACACTGTTGGATCTTAATCTTGGCACAAATACCAGGATCAATTAAAGGGTCATCTGGAAGACTCTTGCAAATTTCTGGGATAACCAGACTCACTACAAAATCTTAAGATGGAACAGAAGCTGTGTGCTTGACTACCAGCCGTTTCATACAGCTCCTTCTGTATGCAGAGTTACCGTGAGTCATGTTAAATAAATCAGTCATGAGAGTCCTGCACTGCCAGTCAGATTTATCCCACAATTAAAGGCTTGGCACAAGGGTGAGAAAACTTCATACAAGAGGTATGCAACCACACAACAGCTGCAGCTGTGGGGCACTTGGGTATTCAGGAGCAGAGTAATATGATGTTGGCAACATGACTCGTCTCCTAGGAAGCACCATTAATACTTCAGATTTACCATTCTTAAATGCAAAAGAGCTTCTGCTAATAGTTAATAGAACTTAGGGAAAATAACTGTAAGGAATCACACCATTTGTAGCAATATTTTCTTCACTTATCACCACAGGAAGCATGAATGTAAAAACATTAAACTAGCACCACAGTCGCATGACTGCAGAAACTGAAGGTTCAAGGAAGGTAACAAACATCATGAGACATACGATAAAAATCATATGAACAGCAATAACTAATTTACACACTAATAAATCAGTAGCTCATAAAATGTTTTAAGTTGTGAAGATTTCATTACCCATACTTGAAGATTTACACCTCTATACTGAAAGGAAAAGAAATGCAAAAGCCAACTCTCACTTAAAAATATCAAAAAGGAAAAGGAGGAGCAAATAGGAAACAATTAACTTTTAGTGTTGTTGTTCTTCCTCCTCCTCCTCATCCTCCTCTCCTCCACCCTGGCCTGTCTTTCTACACCCAGCCAAATGGTTTGTGACCTTGCACCATCTCTGATGAAACAATACTGTTTGCACACATCCTTTCTTCATTCAAAACACAGATTTGCAAATAGGGAATTGACGTCATTTTAATTTGACTTTGCTCTTCATTAACTCATTCTTTTCCATTAAGAAGAGAGTCTTGTGTAAAGCTGGATATAATGGGAAGAGGATGTGTCACCCCGATTTCCAGGTCACCCTTCATCTTGCTGTACTGGGTGATGAAATGCAGAAGCCCGACGTCTGATGAAAGCAGACGGTCTATCTGGATCTATCTCGATCTCATGCATGAGTTTCAAATTTTCCCTTTCATTTTTAAATCTGGAGTCGAGGTTGTCGCTACGAAAGTCAAGGCTGGTAGGGCTGTGTAAGACAGGCCTCGTTCCTGCATCCCCCACCCTGCTCTGTCAATATAGTGTAATCTCATCCTGCACAGGCCTTGCCATTCCAGTTCTGAGTTTTTCCTCCAACAGCATGGTGATATTATTTATATGAACAAGTCCACACTTGGCTCTCAGCTGTCAACGTTTTTATTTTAAGACTTCAGTGAGTCCTTATTAACACTAAGCACTTCAGGGTGAACTTTAAACAAACACCAGGATTTAGGGATTTTCAAAGACAGATTAATTTTTATCTAATCTTGTATAAGCTATTTCTGTTATAACTCAGCTATTTTAAAGGCTCACACATTGCATGGCAATAGCGAATAGCGCACACTACAGCATTCCAAGAGCTGGGTGCTGCTGTTTCCTAAACATCAAGGAATAAATTTTGAATGTATTTCCAAATACACTCATGAAATATATCCATAAAAATATTAGTGCCTAAGGCAGTAGGCTTTAAGATCTGACAAAGGGGACTCAAATCAAGAGACGAAAGAGGCAAAGAGTACATTAAATAGAACATTGTTCCAGTTTCACTTGCAAAGAAAATCTAGCCACATCTTGCTTTGCAATGCACATCTCGCAATCTAGAACACGTTAGACTTTCATCAGATGCAGACAGAGCACTCTCAGAAGTGACTTTGAAATATCAGGACTGTTTGCATGTATTTGACAACTAGCAACAGACTAGTTGCTTTTGTTTGTGACACAGGCCCTGGCCTGGAGAAGGCAGTGAGCACCTCCTGCAGCACTGAAGGCTTTCAGCTCCCACTGCCTCAGACAGGAGTTGAATTAAGGATTAAACCTGTAGCCTATTCTTGAAGCACCCTCCCTCCAACAAGCGGCAGCTGTCTGTTAACACGTGCCGGAGACACAATGTCAGCAATGACAAAGAAGGAATATGACTAACACAAGAAAGTTTGTTTTTTCTTTGCCTTCCCAGCAACACTCTGAAACACACAGCAACTATTGTGAAAATCCACATAAACACATGCATTGCTTCTGCAAAGGCAGGGTAGGTTACATTTCCCAAGGCCTAAAAAGTCATCTTGAACAGCTGTATGTTCCAGGCCTATGTATGTGGCATTTCCTGACCGCAAGCCTTCCTCTTTTCACTCTAGACAACAAAAAGTTTGGTGAAACAGCAACTGCAAGACACTCTGAGCTTTGAGAAAACATTTACTTCTCTTCTACTCACCCTTCTTCCCCAACAAATGTGACATAGAGTTTATTTCTCTGCAGGTCTTTTCTTGAGTAGCCCATGATCTGGTTAAAGGCATCTTCTAGCAAATGATCTCTCCTGATGATTAATCTGAAGAGCAAAAAAATTTTGAAACAGCAATTCTTGAACATGAACCACAGTTGGAAACAGCTACTTACACTGCAAAGTAACAGGGCGACTTCACATATACATGTTTCTGCTGGATAATTTGATGCCAACCAGGCATCTTCTGTCTGTTACTCTATCTCCCTCAACGACCTACTTTAGATTTCCATAAAATGTTTCTCATGCAAAGTAGCATAGTTTTATTTTTTCTACCCTGGTTCTTCCTTAAGTTAAAGGTTGCAGTGGTAAAGGTCCTGAAGTGGGCATTTTCATTAAGTTTAAAATCCTTTTGTAAGGCTGGGCTTCTAAATCAGTCTTACCGTAAGCAAGAATCTAACATTTTTTGGTAAAAATCAATCTCTTAACAAGGACAAAAATAAAACCATGGGAAAGTGACTGAATGGTAACTCCAGAATCACACCCCCCTACATTATCCCCAGTGTAAGTGTGACAGGACAGAAAGTCTAGAAGGAATGGCAGTTGTTCATCCAAACCCAGACTGAAGCATCACATGTGAAAACACAATGTAACTTTCAAAGGAAAAAATCTCAAACTGAGTGTCATAAAGATCTAAAATAAGAGGTGAAATAATCACCCTTAAATATTTTATCTTCTGCCAAAAAGCTGTGTTTAATGAGTTTCATGAAACTTGGCTTGCTTTCTATTCAAATACTGCCTTCTGTGTACGTTTGATCAGCCAGTCAGACTGAAGCTGCTGCCTGGAGGCAGCTGAGCCCTCCACACAGCCTCTTGCAAAGCCCCTTCTGACCTTACTGCTTGTGCAGAGATCAGTCAATGCGCACACTGTGCTATCCTGCGGAGGGGACAGAAGTGGGGAGGCCAGGAACTGGCAAGGCACCTGGGCAGCACAAGAGCTCAGGCAGTAGGCAAATTGTGCTGGTTTGGGAAAAAAAAAAGTGGTCAGTGTATGCCCAGGAAGGGAAACCAGGAAAAACTTCTGTTCAAATATCAGGCTGTTGTTCTCCTTAAAAATCTAGTGTGATGGAAAAATAGGTCAGGAAAAAAAGGTGCAGGTAGCAAATGCCATCCTCTTCTACTAGCTATTTGCCCAAGCATTTGTGACAAAACTCTTATAGATTAAGCTTTAAGTCCTTATGATTTCATTACATTATAGGCAGGATAATGAGCAAGTCCTGCCACTTAAGACTGCCTAAACAATACCATTTTAAACCCATTTCAGCTGTGGGAAACTTTTAACAGGCTCACACAGATGAAGTTGAACTCTGCACAAATTCCTGCAAAATGTAAATAGTGACTGGCTGGGGGAAATAAAAAAAAAACCCACCACAACAAACAAGCAAAAATCCTATCCCCCTATTGCAATAGAAGAAACAGTTAAACAAAAGAAACAGTTAAACAAAAGTTCTAGTGCCTCACAGCTACTATGAAAGGACCAAACCATGAGTGTTTGATAAATGGCACAAGATTTGGTAATTTACAGAATTATGAAAGTATCTTCTGATGATGATCCTTAACATAACAGTATGTAATGACACGACTGGCAAATAAATGAAGGGGGGAAGACCTTACTGCAAGCACTCTAGCATTCAGAGTGCTGAGGTAAAAATATTAGCAGTTTAAGGCAATCCTTAGAATTTAGTAACATTTAATTACGAGTCCTCCTTACTGAAGAGGACTGTGATATCAATACAGGCAATGATGTACAGAAGGTAAGCATATGTATTTTTTTCAACAGAAAAAGACATGAGAAAATATAACTGTTTATATCATAGCAGTTGCGATAATGGAAGAATTCAGATGTCTCCTCTTCTGCATGCCTCTTCCCAAAGTGGTTTTTGTCAATGTAATATTGTTTGTATGAAAATATAGTTGGAGGAAACACAGAAAAGAAGTGCTCAGAACTTGCTGTATCCTCTGCTATGAATCACTTGCTGGCACTAACTCTTTTCTAACAGGCTTTATATTTCCAGAAGCGCAAGGGTAACCATAACATCTACATTCCTTCTAATGGGAAGACGTGCACGGCAAGGCAAGCTGCCTGAGAAACAAATCCAGTTCAATGAGATTCTTCAACATACTTCAGTTTCCCTGGGCCTTGTCCATAGCCTTTAGTCTCCAACTTCCTGTAAAAATTCCTCAGCTTGGCTTCAAAATCTCTTTTGTAAGGAGCTGGAGCTCGGGCATTGGCACGCTGAGTACCTGCAGGAAGCAATGAGCAAAGAATGAGCTGTCATGACATGCACTGACTAATGCCTCACCCTCTACTGAAAAGACTTAATGGCAAAAGGCATGGTATGTGTTTGGTTTAGTCACCTCCTTATAAAGAGTAAAAGCTGCGTATCTTCAAATGTGCTCTGCATCCAAGACTTATTAGTTGCTCATTTCCAATAGTATCACCTTTCTTAAGGTAAGTCATAGAAGCGCAAATTCAGGTCAATGCAGAAGATGGAATAAAAAATAGCACAATCAACTGGAAAGACTTAACTTCTGTTTGTCAAGTGCACTTCACATCTAACTATTAAAATAGTTCATGCAATAAATGTTCTGCCCTGTTCTGGTTTTAATATTATCAGGAAAAACAAGAACTCAGAAATGAAGCATAAACAGACTGTACTCTGCTGTGTTCCTGTTGAATACATCAAGCTGAAGAAGGAGATTTTTAGAAATCTCCTAGTACAAGTTTTTCCTTAGGGATGTACAAAGAAGAAAAATATTGGAAGAATGGAATGCCTACCACATTTAAGTTCATGAAACTTTTCACATGTTACTGCAGGAACATACATGATGGTCTTGTAAGTGAACTTATTTTGGAAAAAATGGTTTTGAGAGTCAGTTTCTTAAAAGCAGGGAAACAAAAAAAAGGCATATCCCCACATCTGCATATACAAGTCTCGTATATACAAGCAGATTAGGTGTTTAGTCTGATCTACTTTGATTACAACCAGTAGAACTTCCACTGCCTCCCTGGGTAAATTACTTCAAGAGATTTGATTGCAAGACAGTGTGCCAAAGAGGCAGTTAATCCTAGCCCTTCTAAGTTCATCTTCTCACCCCTAGCTTCGGCATATCCCCACATCTGCATATACAAGTCTCGTATATACAAGCAGATTAGGTGTTTAGTCTGATCTACTTTGATTACAACCAGTAGAACTTCCACTGCCTCCCTGGGTAAATTACTTCAAGAGATTTGATTGCAAGACAGTGTGCCAAAGAGGCAGTTAATCCTAGCCCTTCTAAGTTCATCTTCTCACCCCTAGCTTCTATAACATTAAATTCCTCCCCTGCATGGCTGTGTAGACATCCAAAAAACAAAACCCTGAGGGGGGTTAAAATTTTTCATGCCCTATAGAATACACAGTTGCCAACTACTTGACTGCAACTGGTGGCCATCTAACAGACCTATAACACAACACAAATACCAACGAAGAATTTGGAAGCATGAACATGTAGGCTTCTGTCCTTTAAGTGACAATCATTTCCTTCTGTGAGGTTTTTTGCAGCTCTTTGTATCTAAAGTAAGCCAATACCAGACACATTTATTGTTACTATGGGTGAAGGCATGAGAAGGGCAGGTTTCAGGTTTCGAAAGTGAGACCGTGTATCCGCTCAGCCTGTGGGCAGGGAAAAGAGAGCAGCATGCTTAGCCACAAAGCACACGGGTCTGACGGAAAAGGCGACGAGCACATCCTGCGGAAGTCGTGCTGGAAGAAGCTGCAGTCAGACTCTCTGCAGAGATCAGAGAGAACGAGCGAGATCAGTATTAACACTGAACGCCATTCACAGGTCTTTAAAAGACCCGTCTGACCAGAAAGACACTTGCCATGTGTTCTAGACTTAGAGTGACGCGTGGGAGGAATAGAAAGTGTCTGAGAATCCTCAGAGCTCCAGCAGGGACGTGCAGGACCCCTCTGGACAAACAAGCCATGGTCATTATTAATCTATAGTGGTTATCCTCTTTTACTGAGAGCACCAAGGGCTTCCACTGGTAGGCTCAGCTAAATAATCTAGAGAACTTACAGAAACTTGAAAATGTAAACAGCCTTTTAATTACTGGCCTTTCTCCCATACTTTGTTTATTTCGCTTTGGGTCAAAGTAGGTACAAAAATGTAGTCACCAAAAAAACGCAACAAAAGCATACTTTAGTCTTAACCCCTGAAGGAAGCTTTCGCTAAGAGATACCGCAGAGCATAAATCTGGTTACACATTACTTCACGGTTCAGAAATCAGCAGTATATTATTCTGTCAGCACATGACAAGTCCTCATTGCAAATCAGATGCATATGCCAAGAAATTCCTGGGCAATTATAGTGATTAATTCTGCCTTGGGAACAAAAGATGTTAATGGAAGAGCTAAAAAATGCCAGTGATGCGATGATGTTATTTGATTTTCAAAGAGGTTATATTCTAAAACAGATATAAAGAGTAGCTTCACAACTCTTCATTTTTTCCAAAAGAGAAAGTACAACGGATTGTGACCGATCTGAACAATGGATCCTTAACATGCAACCTCGTGCAGTGCAGCACAGCCAGTTTAGCTGGTGAAAAAACACAGAGCCTCCATACAAATCATGGGCTATTTACAATTTCTCATCAAAAAAAGTCATTTGTACACCAACACAAGCATGCATACTTGCAGATTCACACAGGGAGATTCAATGGTCTATCTTTTTCTATGAAACACAGATTACAATTTTAAGGAGAATGGGGCTAAACTCATCACCGTTCCTCCTTTACTGTGTGCTACTTCTTTGAGGAACAGATAAGAATTCCACATGTTAAAGATTTACTGCATTTTAAAATTACTTTCTTGGAGTGAAGCCCTGCCCAGCATGCCTTGGTACATGCACTAGTAATGAAGGAATTAGAATTCTGAAAGCCAAAATGGTTTATCCTCAAAAGACTGTCAGGTTTGCAGTTGGAAATAAGATGCATACATGCAGACTACATTCTTCCTTTCCTTTCAACAAAGGGAAACAGTCACATCTAAACCATATATGTATCCGAAATATCAATACATGTGAATATTGTACTGGGCTGCTTTGCAGAATGCCATAAAATCATTAAGATGTTCGGACAGTTTCTCTGATCAGGTCATACAGAGGTCCTACGTCCAGCAGCAGGAAAAGTTACCACTCAGAATGTGTATGAATGGTTTCAGTCTGGTTTCTTGGAAAGGCCCAGCTTTTTATGACTGTGGAGTGGGAAATGCCCATAAAATTACAGTACTTCTCTGATAACATTTTCTTATTGTCTGGAACTACCTAGAGTTGCTTACATCCCAAAGGTTCCCTGATTATCTATACTTTTGTCCTCAAATGTGTAGAAATCCTCTTACACCGCTTCTGGTTTACTGCAGCGATTTTATTTTACCTGCCTATTATCTTCTTCAGAAAACTAAGATCAGTGACATCTATAAACTTCAAATTCCTGTACTTGGCCTTCAGCAGTCAAATGGACCTTGTCATATTTGAAATCATTTAGTTCTGATCCACTAGATAGTTAATATGTGAAGTATCAGTTTCATTCCATTCTGGCATGTATTTCCACACAGCTGCAATATGTTATCTTTAGAACTCATGTTGAGGGACAACAATCTGGCTTTACACAGAATTGTCACTCATTGCCCCACAACCCCATTTACTCTGGCATTTTAAGGTACAGTTATTAGAGCTCATATTTTTAATTCTCTAGGCATCAGATACCTGGCATGAGCAGTCACTTGGTTGTTTCACATCAGCAAAGAACAAGTTTGCATGTTTTACAAGTCAGAACAAAATCACATGGAATTGTAATACACCAATCTTTTCTACCAGAAAAACACCCTGTGAGCCCAAGGCAAAGGTTCAAGTTTGACAGTCAAATGCAATCACACTTGTTCACTTTGCCCAAAATCAGGACTAGATCTTTGCTGTTGCTGGAGCAACAGCACTTGGATCTTCAGAGAGGTGGAAAGTCATTACATGCATCATGTAACTTTACCCATCTAGAAGCTGGGGATCACAGAGCGGAATAGGTCCTACTTTCCAAAGAGCAGGTTCTTGGCTTTAGGCTGCCATGAATTTCAATTTGGAAAGCAAACAAAAAATTACAGTCAAACCATTTTTCTGTTGTTTTCTTCTCCGACTTCTGGGAAGGCAGGAGGAGCGTGCTAGTGACGTTACTGATCCGGAACCGGTCCTTACCAAGTATGAGAAGTGGTTTTGTAGAGCCCCTGCAGAAGCTCTACCTGAGCAACTTACCTGGAGAGTTCTGAGGGGAAGACACCGGCGAGCCTCTTGGGGACTGGCAATAACTCGGATGAAGTAAGGCATGTGGCGGCACATAGGACATTATCTCCTCCTCAAACAAGCTGGTAAAAAGGAGCAAATAAGAAACAACATAATTATTTGAATGAATGGCATTTTTCACTTTGTAGGAAAAAATCTCTAGTTACCAGCCTGCTTTCTTTCCGCTATGCACACCTAGAGTGCTACAACATATTTCATTGTGATTCCTCAATCAGACCTTGCAAGTTACCAGATAACAGCAATTTACTACTTCTGTAGGACGTCAATACACATAGCATGGTATTTCTTTTCAAGGTTAAAATATAATTAATTGGCCTTTAAAATTTCTTTGTTTAGGTTTTTTCGGGGGTGTTGGTGTGGTGGGTTTTTTTTTTTTTTTTAAACTTGTGTCCTCATGACAAAGGGGTCAATAACCTTCATCACACTTCCCTGGAAAAAGATCTGCAATACTGCATGAAGACCAGGAACAGAGACAAACATTCTAAGCCTCCAGGATTAAGAACCACATCTGAACTTGTTGAGTGTATTGAACAACAGGCTTCCTGGCATAACAAGTTATTTCCTTATTTTTTCTTTAATACTAACACTGTTGCTGAAACGGGTGTCACATCTAGTCTGTTCAGATTGAGTTATTTCATGCCTCACCTATTATTGCTACACAGCTTCTAAGAGAAAAACAAGAAAACATTTTGCAGCCTCATCACTGTGTCTGTGTGGACAGAGTCTGTATGTATATATGTATTTAACTTTCAGTCTTTTCCCAAAATTGGCACAAGCAAACCCAAACAGAGACAGAGTATCTAACGTCAGAATGGATCTGATACAAAAGCCTATGTTGGATGTTAAACACAACAGAGATAAGAATCAACTGTTGAGATCATATGTAAAATTTATTTTCAAAAATGCCGCTACAGAAATAATCACAAGCCAATCACTTACTACAGACCTCAAACAACAAAATCAATATTCACATAAAATATGTTTCTTACTATGTTTGTTCACTGAACAAATACCTAGAAACATTTTTTGTATGAGCTTTTTTTTGGAATGGGTATTTTCTGGCAGTTGTTCTTACATTCATGACCACGTGTTGATTGCCTCTAACTTACATTTTGATGCTGAAAATGTGCTGAGGTATAAACTGCTACTTCAATCTTGGATTAAATTAAGAATTAAGACAATGATTTGTGTTGTATACCAAACAACATGTTTGGAAGAAGAAACTGAAAAGTATTTTCTTAACACCTGAGCATAACATAATGCTGTTCTTACTTTTAAAAGTGAGATGCACTGCATCTCTTTCATTCCCTCAACACATAGGGGTTGGTTTGTTTTTAGTTAGCTGCAACTTTATATTTACTGAAGCATGTGAAATATGTACAGGGTTCCCAAGCAATAAAAGAACCAGAAATAGTGATGTTACCCAATTATTTACTACATCTCAGAGGGCTTTACAGGACAATTATATCATTCCCCCTCCCAAGCTGAAGAAACAGAGGCATGGAAATGGGTAGAGTCTTCCCCAGGGACATCCAACCGGCCAAGCTAGATACAGAACCCAGACGCCCTGAGCCCCAGAAGCCTGAGTCATCGTGATTAGAGTGCAGTTTTCACAGAGAGAAGGGTCATGATGACACCCTGCTGAAAGATACTGTCAAAAGCGAAATTCTACTGAGACTAAATAATGGTAAGAAAAGAAATTTCATCAACACAGAATGCCAGTATTTAACTTAGCCCACCTTAGATTTTACACCAGTATTTACTCACAATAATCTCACAATAACTCAGTCCAGTCTTGTGGTTTAACATCCAACATTTTAAGAAACCAATGGATGCACAGATAACAATCAATAATGTCCTCAGGGCAATGGTACTATTAGATTATCTAAAAAATGGTAAGAAAATCCTCAAACGATGCTTTTCAGCTAGATTTTTTTGGGGGGAAAAAGAGTAGATTAAAATAAATAAAATCTGAAGAATATTAAAAAGTTACTCAAGGGAGGCACTGGCAACTGCTTTTCTCTTAAAAATTAGTTACATTGATTAGTGCTTTTCTACAAGATCGTAATCAAAATTTGGAATTTGCATTAATTCCACTATAAGAATTATTTCCAGTCTTTGTTGTTAACAGAACACTAGAGAGAACAAAAGCCAAAGAGCAAGGACAAAATCATTCATGCAATCTTTATTTAAAAACAAATGTCTGAAGCCAGACTTTTCTGTGTAAAACATCTGCCATCTCCATGCACTATATATCAGAAGAAAAAAATCTTAATAGGTTTTTAAGAAACAATATTCACATTGGAAAAAAGCATGAATTTAAAATGACATCTTATTTTTTTAATAGCTGTAATTAATTCAGACATTCAGGGGCCAGAAAGTTATCATTACGCAACTGGACCTCAAAATACTACTTCTATAGCCAATCCTATTTCACTAGATTCAGTAGTAAATGTACTCATTAATTTCTTGATGCACTTTTACAATGGATGAGAATGCAACATGAAGATACAAGGGGTTCATTCTAGAAAAAAAATTGCCTTTTTTTAGCTGATTGCTTACATGAAAAATACTAAAAAGCAGCAGCTTCCCATTTCTCCAACTCTGTAACAATATTTCCTTTATTAAAGAAGATAATGCTTGACACCATAGTGAAGAGGCAGCAAGGCATTAGGTAATAAAAATGCATGTCAAGTATGAACATTCACGAATTCCCAAACAGATGCATTCTTGAAGCAGTAGAAGGCACATACTTGCACAGAGGTAAACTCTACCACCTATTGAGACATCAGAGCTAGATACAACAGGACAATAAAAGGTAGCCTGGGCAAACCCATATAAATCACAAGCACAGCTCTTGCACTCGCCTTTCCTCAGACAGAGTACCACATTCCATCACTCCTACGAAAAAATGTTACCTCCAACTACCATCTTGAAACTGAACATGATGAAAATAAAAAAATATGACCCTTGAGTTGTAGTTCTCCCAGCTGCGAGTCCGAGTACTGAAGGGGAAGTGATTAGGCCACTAAATCAGCACACACCTCTCACTGACAGGCTCCTCAGGAGCTGCCACAGCCTGTTCCGTATGTGCATCACAGCAGTGCCTACCTGAGTAACATGACAAGGTCTGCATCACTGGATAAACGCACCAACCCAGGTGTTCCCTCTGTCCGGATGAACTGGATCTTCTCCCTGTGTAAGCAAAGAAAGAATTCCAAACTATCTTTTGCAAATAAGGCACCAATGTACACCACAGCAATAAGAAAAAAGTACAGCGTATATCATAAAAACCTCTGGGTTATGCTTAACTATTTTTTCCCTGCCACACCACCATGTCCAAGCCAGCAGCAAAAAGCTCATTTGTCCTGATGAATGATTTTCCTGTTGCCTTCATCTCTGCAATGCTCAGGCTGCTGCAGGGAGCACAGCCAGCCAGCAGAACAAATAAAATCTTTAAAAATCAGTCCCTCAAGTTCACACTAGTTGTGTCCCTGAATTCGAAGGAAGAGGCTGAGCCCTGCAGGAGGACACTGCTATTCTAAAAGTGAACTGATTAAAGGGGTACTGTCTTTTTTTGAACCTATGTACAAATGCAAGGCATTCATTACAACGCAAACTTGTGATTTTAAAAGTGGGGGTTTTGTAACACACTGCATTTAAGAGATCTTCCAGAAAAACCCTTGTACTATTTCTCCCTGTCTCATCCAAGCACACGCCTGTCCTCCCAGACCCAGTCTGGTCACTATTGTGGAATCTGTGCATCCTAAACTCTACACATAGTAACACACAGATTTTTAGGATTTGTGTGTTATATGTATAACACAAGGTCTATGATGGTACAGTGAAGAAATTCTAATTCAGCTTTACTCTTCAGGAGGAAAACAAAAAACAAACCCGCGTAGTAAAACTGTCCCAATTCCGAAGCAGAAAACCCCCAAACAAGCAGAGAAGTAAAAGAGAAGTAAAGAACTCCACATAAGAACAGCAGCACTGGCCCTGCTCAGAGGTCCATCTACCCCGCCATCCTACTAGCAACAAAGGCAAGATCATCAAACACTATCTGTGCAACTGCCAGTGTAAAAAGGCACCTGCACAGCTTCAGCTGCAATATGAATTTCTGGAACACAGTTTCATGCACAGCAGTTTCAGCAAAAGGAACAAACCAAATTCCTTGCCATACATCTCTAAAACCACAGTACATGATGACCTTCTCAAACAGCTGACCAAACATACATTCCCTGTTAACTTGCACTACCTTTACAGCATATTCCAGGGTGAAAAAGGGGCACAGACTGGCTGTGCCCAGAGCCCCCCAGTCCCCGCTTGCCAGGGTGATTGCTGTGGCTGCAGAAAGAGCATGTAATTTAGTGTTTCTCTTGAAGAGAGGTACTGAAAGTCAAGCACCCACTCAAGCGACCAGTGTTGACCCATCACAATGCGTGTTCAGACTGGAAGCCCTGTAGTCCCACTAGCACAGCTCTGAGCCAAAGCCAACATGCCCTGCCTACCTGGGAGCATGGCCCCAGAGTGCCCACGCAGGGACACCTGGACACTTCCAGAGCCCAATTCAATTTACATCAGTGCCCAAACGGCAAGGTTTGAGGAAATAAATGGTGGATTACAAAATCTCTCAGCGTTTAGTGGGCAGCAACACCAGGAACCAGAATGACATTTCTTGGATTAACTAACACATGCAGCCCTCCAAATGAATGCAATCCATGACTTCCTGCGGTTACCAATGAGAGTTGTGATTTCAATGATATAACCACCATATAACCATCAAAGATCTTCCTTCATCAGACCTTGGACTACACAAAAAACCTCTAGATGCCCTTTTTTTAAATTCTGGAGAAACACTAAAATTCAGATTTGTATCAGTTCGCCTCCAAGGTCATAATGTCAGGACAGCCTTTCTGTAAATGCACACTGAGAAGTTAAAGGACAAGACCAAATGCCATTCTTCCTCACAGTCCCAGCTGTACACATACTCAAATGAATGGGCACATTTGCCATGCCATCCAGCTGTCTTGGCACATTCTGAATACATCAGCAAATCTCTTAGGTCAGTTGTTCCAAACATTTTATTGTAAGTACCTTTATTTGGTAATTACATGTTATCTCTCTTCTCTGTTCCCTGTTTCAAGGAGTTACACAGGAATACAACAAAGAACTATTTCCCACAGCTTTATGAACATGTTTGAATAGGGCAAAAGTCTAAAATCTGCTATGTTCCATCGATAATTTTAATGAGAGAAACTAATTCCAGTTAGCATTTTTAACAGAAATGGGACTAGGAGATTTCACTGATTTTATTACCTGAGTGAATGATTCCTGGTAAGATCTGGTTGACGCTCCTGTAGAATTTCAAAGATATTGGGCTGCCGCAAAAACGCAACAATCTTGTCATTGTAAGCTGAAAGGAGGAACAAAAATATCATGCTGCATCAAGGTGATACTGAGACAGACCTGCATTCCTTCTGAGTTTTGACCACTAATGACAGCAGACTTCATCGTCACTGTTTTAAGTTTAGCAGTTTTGTGTTGATACATTTTCTTGTAGGGCTACTGATTCTACTGTCATTTAGGGAACATGCTTCTTGATTATGAACCAAATCCGATTGTGACATGACCTTCCCACTATTAGCAGCTCTAATTTTGTTAGCAATTTCTTCTGTATTTTATCACTCACACCTTTAGCTGAGGTTGAACTAGACTATTCACTGCTAGAATACAATTGCAGAGACCTTGGTTTTAACTGCACTGAAATCCATTCTGAAATATTAAACAGTCGTTGGAAACACCCATATCAAATCCTCACTAATTGCTGAGCCTGCAGTGTATGCACAACATGTCCATGGCCAGGGGAAGGATTTAAATTAGCCGAGATTTTCAAGTAAACATGCCACAGTACAAAGAGCCAGTTATAGTCAATCGGATTAATTTATCTTGATTTAGCACAATGTGACAGCTGTTGGATTCAATAAGCCAAATTCTGTTCTTGGTGGCACAGAAGTCAGTAACTTTGTGTGTATGTAACTGAGAACAGAAGCTAATGACTAATTCCAAGCTGATTAACACTTTCAGGAATCCTGCCAAAACAGATGCTCAGAAGTTGTAGAAAAATCACCCAGAATACATGGGGTCCAATTAGGACACAGCTTGGCTCAGTGGCTTCAACTCTACGTGGTGACAGGAGGAGTAAGCGAGCTAGGAAGGTAGACGTGTTACATTGGTTACTTGGTTCTGCACAGCCACTTCTCAGTATCATTCCTGCCGGTTGACACTGAACAACTGAGAAAGGCTGATGGACACAACTTATCCGAACGAATGGTAACTTCCCCTCACCCCAACCAAACAAAAAACCCAGCAGTGCACACTGACGTAACACACTTGGTCACAGAGAACTTCTCCGAAAACAGGCCGTATGTCAACATACCCACTGGAACCACATCCTGGTACTGAGCTCTGCTGACGGTATTAAATGTGCTAGACGGTCTTGGCAAAACTGGCGGTCCTGAATGACGAGAGTCCTCTCCGACCTGAAAATGTGCAAGTAACCGCAAGGAGTAAGTATCTCCACTCCAGCATGTGTACTTGGGTGCATAAGTGAGAAAGCCTATGGCTTAAAACCAGGCATGTTTAATCCCTATTCCCAGTAACCACTGCAGCAGGGATCAGCTGTCGTATGACACTTACTATCAAAGCATCATTTAGTACACTGTGCCTATTAATATGCATGCTCAAAACTCATTGAAAGTTTATTGCTTTTTTAAAATAAGAGTCTCATTCTGAAAAGGGACTAAAAGATTCAAACTGGGATTCCTTCAGAGGTATCTGAAGGTTCTGAAAAATCAAATTCTGCTACTTCATTAGCACCTCTATTACCTCTGTGCATGAATGGAGTGTCCCTACATTTGAAACGAGTTCGTGGCTGAAGCAGAATAAAGAAGCAAGTACACATTCAGGCAAAGGCAAACAAGTCCAAAACTGGTAAAACCTATTCCTAAAATAATTCAGTAAAACCGTTCTGATTGTTTTTGTCTTCACCTGGGATTAAAAAAAAAATGTTGTATATGAACATTTTTTAGGGTAGAACCACAACATAAAGCTGTTGCTGGTAGCATTTATGATGTCAGGGCAATTTCTGCAGTTTTCTGTGTGCTAAGGCTTCAGTCATTTCTACAGTGTCAGTATTCTGTATTTTGTTTATATACTACATTTTGTTCAACCTCTCTTTCATCCTGCTGGACCTTTACGTTTACTTCTCAGTTTCTCTGTCTATGTGTAACGGTTAGCATTTGATCTACACTTCCACGCTCCAAAGAACTCTAAACCATCTAAATGTAGACGATCAAATAATTATAAAGGTTGTTTTTTAAATCCAGACTCTAAAATTACAAAGAAGCAAAAGTCCCGAGATATCTCCCAACATCTTCATGTTCTCTGATAATTCTCTCTCAGAAGAGTGAAAAATTATTTCCTGTAGGCACTGTGCCAGAAGAGGAATGCCATTATTATAGCTCCAGCTTCACGCTGCAGTCAGCTTGAGCTAAAAAGGCATTCCTTACACTGGTTCATGTTTGCTTTAGAGCATCTCTCTACAAAAACTGGGTCAGTGGCTTCAAAACATCAAAGTTCGTGGCAAGGCAAATCCAAAGAAAGTATTTTAAGAATTTTTTTCATTAAGTATTCATCTTTTGCAATAATGTACAGTTCCTAGATGCAGTGGTTTAAAAATAGGAAAACCAGCTGCAAATATACAATACTTAAGTCATAAATGCAAAAGAAGAAGTGGTGTTCAAATTCATACATATGCATATTAATGAGCATTTTTACATCATTAACCACAATGAAAATACTGTATTGAATTGCTATGTTTCAGATTATTATTTGGAATTATACTTCAAGTTACAATTGTAACACTATTGAGGAAATACTTCCAAAATTACGTGTAGAAATGTGGTTTAATTAATTTCACGTATCTAGATGGAGAGGAAAATTCTGACATGTAGTCAGCACTGCGTATATACAGTGTATAGGATGACTTCCTATAGGATAAACTAACTGGTTTTGCAGTATTGACAACTTCAGCAGTGACATGAATCTCTGTTTTAACAGCAGAGCTTCTGCATGCTGCTTAAAGATAGATAATTTCAATGCACACTTCATAAATTAAAAAAAAAAATTATTTCTGCTCTGCTATAGATCAGTCACAACAGAAATACTTGCCTTACCCTATCAAAGATCTAAATAGCTGTATGAAGACACTTCTGGCTTCCTCGCCTGCTGTAAGACATCTTTGCCTAGATCCTATCAACCAACTGATAGAAAATGTTACTTAAAACCACTTGTAAAATATACCTTACATTGGGGGTGGGGGTGGAAAGTATCATGGGTGACTAAACCATGTTCACACAAAAAATGACAAGATACAGCCAGCGGTATGGCGCGCTCTGCAGCTCAGCGAAAGCCCTGTTAGAGCAGTGGCAGAGAAGATCCATGCCTGCTATCAAGCAAATGTCTGGCAAAACAACTTCACCTGCTGCAAAGCTGAGTTATAAAAAGGATAAATCAGAGCATCTTTCTTGCCATTCTAAATGGTATTATCATTAACATCAGGCATGGGACAGAGAGGACAAATTACAGTCAACCATATGGAGGTTAAATAAAGTAGAAATGAAATCTGAGTCGTTGTACATTCACTTGCTTACAAGTAAAAAGAAGTTACACCAACAACATGGAGACTGCCAGTGAAAATGGTCCATGTGATGCTTCAACAAAATGGTGTCCCCCATCTATTTCTGTTTAGAAATCAGACATGAAATACATAGGCAAATGCATATGAGAGTCTGATAAACCTGTATGTGGCAAGATTTTTTTATACTTATTCAGAAAGTTGCATATCTAGTTGTATATGCACACACGCACTCCCTTATTTGCAGAGTTATATCAACATAGTTGGCACACACCATGCTAGACAACAATACGTATTTTGACAGCGGAAGAAAGGACACAGATACTGGTAATCGGTAATCAGATGCTCTCCTGTGGTTATATGGGGCTACTGCAAATTAAAAGTTAAGAGAAACTCATGTCTGACTCTTCCTCTAGGATACATCTAAAAAGCAACAATGGCTAGCACAGAAAACAAGTATTTATAGATCAGTACTGTACACTTACAGAAGAATCAGGCTCCCCACAACACAAAATTGCGAGCAGAATGATGTGGAAGAGGATGATCCTAAAAACCTGGTGGTTCCTGAAGAGAAGGGGCAGATCCAGCTTACCTCACCGGCGCTGTGGCTGCGTTGTCTAGTTAAGTGCTGCCGATGGACTAATGCACTAGTGGGCCTGCTACTCTGCAAGGGAAGCCGGGGGTCGATGAACGTGGTGGTGCGGGAATTGTGGTCAACAAAGAAAGCCTAGAGAAGAAGAAAGAAGACAGACTGTATAGCCAGTACTTGTTTTCAGTATGTCTGAGGTTAACATCTATTCAGGATCTACGTTTCATTTGCTGATGTAAGGCTTTGGAAAATCTTCTTCACATCACTGTGGCTTGCATTGCCCTTCGGCAAGAGGGATAACAGTTTTCCATCTCACAGCAGGGATGAATTCTTTAATGCCTTATTTCATTCATGTCTATAAAGCCCTTTGAAATTCTCATCTGACAAGCATAAGAAGTAGGAAGATTTATTATGACTGTCACAAAGAAAAGACTTAAATGTTTAATAAAAGTAAGCCTGGTGTATTCTCCCTTTCATTTCCTTATAAATATCTAAAAAGATGACATTAAGTGGCAAAAACATTCCCTTTTGTGAACTATTTACCATATAATTATGAACACAATTGGGTGTATATATGTCAAGTGTATGATTGCATCCTGTGATGAACTATGATTACAGACCAACAGGCATTTTTTGCCATCCTCCGGATACAACTATTCTAAGCTTGCTAACTTTTTTTTTTTTTTAAAAAAAAAAAAAAAAGAGTCAGGCAGGGACACAACGACAATGGCAACAAAAACATTTAAACCAGGCAACCAGCAAGAACTGCCACATATTGGCTGGTCAGCTGTTTGCTGAAAGCAAGGTCACAGGAGCGTGTATCCTGGAAAATGAAAACCTCCTACAATTCTTTCCAATTTGAACAAAGAAGGTTTCTAAGCCCTGAAATTTAAACTTTCTATAAACCCTGAAACTTTTTCCAGTGTGGAAACCAGCACTGTTCTATTTCAGCACACTTCGGTTTTTTAGTCACAATGCTGGAAACATGTAGAAGTGGCAAAAAAAGATACTGGTTTTGAGCAGGAGAGTTACAGGAAAGTGACATCTGGTTTGAGGAACTGAAGAATCTGGACGAGAAGAGAGGTGGCTGGGGACTATGGGAGCCATTTCTGTGTTTGGATAACAGTGAGGTACTTCAACCACAGTTTCATAAACACTTCAGTCACGCAGTGTCAGCAAAAGAAACATTCTCCTCATGCCCACCCTGACTGCTTGCGCACCCTTCCTGCCTCTTGCTGGCACAAGTGTTTGTGTAGCCAGGCAGTGAACCCAGCTGGGGAGCTGGGCCAGGCTAAAATGACTCTCTCTGTCCCTCGCCCTGCTGGGTCCTCCAACCTCAGTCAGCCCACCAGGGATGAGAGGAGAGCAGAACTGGCTCTTTTGGCAGCAACACCGCCTTATAGTATTCGCAAAATCCTTGTTTCAGACTGCTTGGTACAGCCAGGCCAGAGAAAATGCAACTCTTCTGACTGCGATGAAGGTAAGTAGACAAATCAGTGTGTCATGCCATACAGCAGCTAAAGGCCTTTAGAGATTGTGGTGGTACAAAATGTTCATGCTTCCATTTCCCAAGGAAGTAGAAGCCTATGGAGTGACGCCAAAGCTGCAAAACCTTAGAAACGCTCCAGGAGAGGGCAGCAAGCTGCCTGCAGCCCTAACAGCCATCACCTGTACCTGTAACCTGTGCCCACAGGCAAGGAGTCACATTCCCTGCACAGTAAGGAAGAACTCTGTTTTGATCATCCAACATAGTTACGGACATGCAAGTGAAACTGGCTGTTCCACAGTTCAAAAGCTAGGAATTGTATTCAGTAAATGCAATTTTAATCACACTGTTAGAGCCTGGTGCAGGACTTGTTCGCCTTGACAAATAACGATGTCCCTTGCAGCAAAGTATACAGATTAGAGAATATGAAACCTAAGGGAAAGCAGAGTGAAAGCCATTCTGAAATTTCAGTTTGGAGCCTGGAAAATGACTGAAACATACCCGTGCTTTCTGAAAATTTTGCTCCTGACCGATAGGTTTATTTCACTTACTAGCAAGCAGTTGGTATAGTTTGGGTTTTTTTAATGTCCCTGTATCTATTATTTTATCTAGTCTGGTCTATGTGCATTTGTAAGATGTGAAGCACTTTCATCAAAACAAAGGTTGATTTCACTAAGTCAACATTATACTGTAAAATCACTTAGAAAAAAAAAAGTACTGATTCAATATAGGAGGAAGTACTACCTAGAGTTGCGCTACACAGTTCCTTGAGTTAATGCAGCAGTCTAATATTGCATGTAGTGTTCTTTAGCATTACATTTAACAAACAACTCAGTTTAAACATTAAGTTAAATACAATCGTGTCTTACTAAAGATGAATGCTTGCAGGCCAGCTAGTAGTAGCCTACTTAAAATACAGCATAAATTATTACTTTAAAGCTTTGGTGAAGATAGTCATTAGAGCTTCAAGGCTTTGGGCTAAGCTGGACATTGGCACAGAGCTCAAAATACAGTGCGGTTCTCAGTCTCTTTTCAAAAAAATCCCTCTCCTAACTCCTATCTAGCTACAGTCCATAAATCTATGATGCTTCAAGAGACTTACATACGATGGGTAGTGCCAAAATAACCTTTATCCCACTAAACACAGACAGTTGCTAAAGTTATCTTTCCTATGAAGCTTGCTGAATTACCTTTTCTTCCTATCAAAGACGTGACATTACAATGGATTCTTTCATTGTAGAAAGAACGAGTCCTACAATAACTTATGTATTTGCTCATCTTGCAGAGATCTAGTTAAAAAGTACACACATTTGCGTCTGGCTTTAAAACATGACCATGTGCTTACACGTCACACAAATGCACTGGCGTGTTTAGCTGTATATACATGTGTGTATGCACATGTATGCAGCCATGCAGAATTTCAAAGTTACCAGAATAAGTTCAGCTCAGGGACTGACCTAGCCTGTTGCTTCCTGATGCTTCCCTGTTGCCACCTTTTCCAATTGTCTTCTGCCTCCTTGTCATCAGTGACTGATGGAGGTTCATCTCTAAGGCCTATCAGAAACAATATCCGAGATATGCCAGACTTTTTAGGGAGAACTGCATGCCAAACAGATTATATCTACTGTAGGGTATGCACGGCGGAGTCAGAGTAGTGAGCACCTGAGCTTTGCTGTGCAGTTCTGAAGGGAGTTCAGAGGTGGGCAGTCCCCAGCCCAGCTGACCATGGAAGACAGCCTGCAAAGAGGACAAGCAGCCAGGACTGCACTGACACTAGGGAGTAAAAACTCTGCACTGCATAAGGGTCAGAACAATCGCTGTGCTTTGTGAGCAAAAGCACCGAGCTGCTTACTATGATATACTTGGAAAAATAGATGAAAACCTCATCTCAGCAGAAAGGAAATACAATTATACATTGTGGCATGGTTACTTTCTACTTGCTTCTCTTTAGCTTCATGCTTTACTAAAGGCAGGTCCAGTTCCAGTTTGGTCTCATCAAGCACTGGTCTCACCATATACTGGCCATCATCTTTGTCAAGTGCTGAATAGGCTTTTCTACTGGCCACAAGTGCTACTTGTGACAAAGGCAATTCAACATAATGAAAATGAACAAGACTGAGCATAATTTGAAGTGAAGAAATCTCAGTGGGGATTTATCCAGTGCCAGTGCTTCCTCTTGCTGACTGATGTTGCAGTACCAAATACCACAGCAGAAATCCAAAGGTCTAACTCGCTATGGAGCACCTTTAAAGTCAACTGAAAATTGCTGTATTCTTCAGGAGAAGACTGGCCTCTGAAGAAATGAACAGAAAAAGAACGACTGAAAACGAGTGAGGGATGCAAAGAACAAGGTTAGTATAACTGCACATCCCCAACTGTGTTTCTAAAGAAAAAACAGAGTGCATTGCAGAGTTAATAAATCCAAGAAGAAAACAACCCTCAAGCACTTACTCTACCCTTCAGTTCAGAATCTGCCTACAATCTTTTCAAGCTTCAAGATTAGTGTTTACACAGACACTCTCAGCTAACCGTTCCAAGACAGATAAATGTAAGAACTGAGAAACTTAATATGCCTATAGCCCTAATTAGGACTTCCCACATGGACCAACAGCCTTATTACTTCCTCACATTCTTATCATTTTATCCTCCATTCTCCTGCAAAGAAAATTATATTCCAGATAATGATGATAAACTAGATGAAAGTGAAATTAAAACTACATTACTACTAGAAAGAGGTATCTGTTCTTTGATTTTAAAATATTTTGTTAGAAACTGGTAAGTGATAACTGTTTTGAAAAGCAGCAAGACTTGCAGCTACATTTACCTTGCCCTGATGGTCATGTTTCATTTCCCAGCCTCTCGGCAGCTCCAGCTGTTTGTTGGCAAACATGTTGAGGAAGCCCACCAAATCCCGGTTGTGCTGGTAGCGCTCAAAATGGTGGGTGTCCCGCCGGACTTTGGTGATCATGTGCTTCAAACACGTGTTATTTGTAAACATGCGGTAGGCACTCTGCAAAAATAAAGAGCAAAAGGAAATGCTTTTAAAAGATAAAGCTGCTTCTTACTACAAAAGACAACAGTTCCACTGTAAGTAAATGATCTAATAATCTGTAAAACCTTAAAAATTATCTCCAACTAAGCCCAAACAGTATGAAAATAATGGTACTATTTCAGAGGTTTTAGGATAAGCGTTTGATGTTTCTTATTTTGCTTGAGATATACATAATTTCACAATTAAGCCACTTCAGCAAATGGGAAATTACAGATTCCATTTACCACACGTCCCTGGAACTGTCAAAAACCCTGTAACATGAAAATTGCTTTTTAAGTAGAGATTTCATAGATATTCTCTAATTTCTGGAGTAATTAGTCAAATGCAGCCACAGAATACAGCAATAAAGCTGGTGAGGTTTTCTGCAGGACAGAGATATATAAGCTTGAATTTATCACATATCTACATAAATATTGTTTCCACCTATTAATTCTTTAAAAATACCCTATCATTGCATGCCCATGTGTAATTTACATAATAAAATTAAAAAAGAGAATATAAGGGGAGCACTGAGACATAGGGACAACTTGAAATAAAATGGGAAAATAGTTAACACCCTTCCCTCTAAAAAAACCCATCCAACTAGAAACCAGGTCTTTCTCTCAGGATTAGTAACAGGCAGAAGCCAAGACATAGGCCCTCCTACTGCACTGTCCTGCTACCTAAATCACACAGTGCCCCTACACCTCTACTCCCTGGCCCTCCTATTGCACCTGTCCTGCTACCTAAATCACACAGTGCCCTTACACATCTACTCCCCAGACAGAGGTCCTGTCTACCCCCATCCTATTTCACAATAAAGCTATGCAAGCTAAGCAGAATTATTCAGATGCAGACAAGCATACATATACATCAAAACCAAAGTAACACTAACCAGTAATTTAAAAAGCACTGAATTATTAACAAGTGTTCCTGCAGACAATAAATTATTAATTCCATTATTTCTGTTTACATTTTACATCCCTTTACACAATGGAAACGAAACATGCAAATAAACCTCCAATATAGGAAGAAGCACTGAAGAACAGGCAAAACAGAAGAGGAAAAATACCTATGGAGATGCTGTTTTGTTCAGCGTAACCTCTAATATATTGATATAAACCAGGCAATCTGAGGGAAACAAACCACTGCAGAAGCAGCAAAGCAATCTTAAAAAATGAGCATCGTTTTCATACTCAGCATTGTGTCTCACCCTCTGCAAAGCATAGTAAGAAAGCTATTGCTTCGATACAAAAATCATTTGTTTATCATAAGAAAGATGAAGAATTGAGTCAAAAATAAAACTGCAGAAGCTATAATGACAAGTAGGACAACTCTGATAGCCCACCACTGCAAGGAATGATGATGACTGAATTTACCCATTCTCCCTATTTACTACCAATATCTTAGCATCAAACACTGAGCAGTACATTTGTATGCAAGGCAGCTATATTTATAAGCACGTATTTATGAAAGTCTTTCAGCTGTAGACGCTATACTTACAGGGTTAGAATGCAGCACTGTAAAGAACTCTGGGCTGATAAGGAATTTCACAGGGGGAGACTGGAGCAATAAAGTAAGTCTGGATCTGGAGGTAGAGTGAGGCAGCACATTCTCTCTTCGAAAATCTAACAGCAAAGTGAATGACAAAGACTTCCAGTAATAATCATCACCAAAACATCACTGCAACAACTATACCAATTTGAATTACACAAGCAAGAAAAGCACTAGGTATACAATTATTTCAGAATTACTGAATGTTCTTCATGTAAGTGTACCTCAACTATTTCTAAGACAGTACTGAAGTTCCTCAAAATACCACCATTTTAATTTAGTAACTTTTACCTGTTGCTTTGGACAAACATCAACAAGCTCAAAAATAATGTCCAATTATTTGGGTTACCAAACATATGCCTGTGTATAAGATGCAAGAAGGTCCCTAATGGCAAGCCTACATTGATGGTAGCTAAAAAATAGCTACAAGCTATTTTTTAAATGCTAACTAATGCATTGTACACTTAAGAGTCATTATACACTTCATGTTTCATTCCTCCTTTAAAAAGCCCAATAAATCACAGCCATTAACACAGCTCTGATCCTGACAGAGTACTTAAGCAGCTTATTTAAGTAAGAAACAGGTTGCCAAGGAAGTACCTTTCAAGTTCCACCTTTCAGTACACATTTGGGTCTTCTCCTAGCAACTGTAGATGTGCACTGATTTTTCAACAGTACCAGGAACTGAAAATATATTATGAGTGGTATTTGTTACGATGTGAAAACTGTTCCCCTCAATTGAAAAATAAACAGGACATTCGGATGCATGTTGTAATGTAAAACTGCAAATTCAGATTGGGTTGGTAGTAATTTTACTCTAAAATGAATGCCATCTTCTACATCTCAGAGTTTCTTTCTTTAATATATTGTAATATTTTCACACAAGTGAACATTAATCACGTAGAACGCAGCCACCACGGATATCAAAGAACAGTAACCCACAGACAGAAAAAGGAGCATAGAGGCAGTGAATGAGACTCTAAACTGAAGGAAAAGTAAGCAGAAATTAAAAAAAGTAGAAAAGAAGAAAGTGTAAAATGCTAAATATGGACAGGTAAATGTTATTAAAAAAAGGGAATGGGGGAAATAAAGACATTAATTCCAGGCATTAGAGGAAACCAGAAAATGGATGGGTAATAAGTAATGAAAAAATAAATGAAAAAGAGGATTTTTAGAGAGACTTAAACAATAGACCCCTAGCCCTCCCACGAGGCACGTCTACGGAGTGACAGCTGTGTAGCATAATGACCCCTACTTGGGATGGGAGTGTCTTCCAGGCATGCACTGCAGTTGCATGCCAACTCTACAATGGTACAAAACTTGCGTGTACCCAAATCACTTCTCACACCCTGGAAGATGCTGTGGCATGCTGAAGATAAATCCACTGTCTTAACCTGGAAACCAGAATGTGTCACCAGGTGGGTTTTTCCTGCAGTTGAGAGGGTTATGAATTTGCCTTATGGAAAGCTTATTCAGCTGAACTTGCTGCATTTGCTTTAAACTCATTTGTTTACAGCACAACAAGCCCTCTAGGTGCACATGCATGCGCACAAAGACACAAATGGAAAAGGCTAAGGCAGAGGTAAAGAAAAAAAAAAATAAAGGGAACACTTGGCCAAATCACAAGTTCTATGAAGACCTGAAACTCAAGAAAGGGTGGCACTGCTTGGGTATCAGATTAATTTAGGAGAGAGTATTACAAGATAATATCAAGAGCATCTCGACACAAAGCCAGAGCATATAACATACAACTACGTAAGGGACTGGATGGGTAACAAACTAACTTCATAAATGTACTAGTAAATTAGTAGTAGGAAGATGACCAAGGAGACAACAGCTTAGCAAGAAGAAAACTAGTAATGATGCTTAGAGCTCATTAAAAAAGGCCTTTCCTTCTGTCTTCATTCAAAACATAACCACTGACCAGACAATCAGAATTACTAAAAAACAGGAGAAGAAAGAAAAGTTTCTTCTTAGGCTAGAATAGGTACAGAGAAGGTTGAAGACTGCGATGCAAATTAGAGATTTTCAAACCCTTGGGTCTGAAAGCAATCTCTGAGACATCAGTGGTTATTATGTAGGTCTGAAGGCATTCTCAGCAGAAAAGGGATAAATATTATATCCATTTTTAAGAATAAGTGAAAAAATGGTGAAGGAAACTATAGATGAGGTGACATATATTGTATTCTCAGACACATGAACTAATTGTCAAACTACTTACATCAATAAGAAGACAACAAGGTAGAGAAACACAAATAACCAGGATTTCTGAACAATGGAACATAGCAAACTAACCAAGTTATTTTCTACTACCAAGTGCTGTAAAGGCCACACATTTTGATGTTTATAAGGCCTTTAATACTGTTCACAAAAATACTCTCAAAATCATGTTTGGGGAGAAAATTACCTGAAACAGATGAAACCACCTGGAGATGGGTGTGCAGCAGTTTGTAAAAATGCACTGAAGAGCAGTTATGATTTATCTCAAACCAGGAGAGTAGACCAAGGGATGTTTCACTAAGATCTTTCTCGGTCTGGTCCTACCCGTTATGTTTATTAATGACTAGACAGGTAGCATCTCCAACTAGGAGATGCTGCAGTACTTAAGCAGCAGGATGGACAAGATTCAAAACCATGGTGACACATCAGAAAAGGGCAAAGGCCTGTGTGCAGACAGGGATAATCAACTGCACAAACACCAGATGAAAAACAGGTATCTGTGCCAAAGATCTGCACACCAGAGTCTAGGCCCGATTTCAGCAGAACAAGGACTGAACGCTGGTGGTTAATGTCAAACTATCAGAATAGAAATCATAATTACTCAGGAATGTACAACGAGTGCTATCCGTAAGACATATGACATTTCTGCAAACTCTTCAGGGCAGAGTCATACATCTATTTAATTTTCTGAAACATTCCTTGGGAGCTACAGGCCAACTGATGACAATCCTGCGTAGCCCAACAAAATAATTGGAGATCTAAAATCACAAGGCACGAGAAAAGATAAAGAAGTAACGGATTTCAGAATATCTGACAGGAGAAATGAGTAGACTGTTTAACAAAGTTACAGACTGTCCATGAACTGGAGAACACGTTATGAGAACACATGAGATAGCATTTAGAAAGTATGATTTAGGTACAGCTCATCCTATCTTCAGCACAGGGATGAAGCAGATCACTGCCCAAAGTAATTTCTAGTCCTATATTCTACTATTTCCAGATGCAGTAGCAGATTCAAAATTTTGTAACTCAGACAACACAGTTTTATACTTTTTCACTGCAAATGTCCTGCCTGTATTTTTATCCAACCCAGTCAGGTACAGACATAAAAATGCTCTGAACCTCACATTCATCTCTAGCATATTGAACAGGCTGAGCCATAATTTTCAGAAACTAGACAGCAATGAAAACAAACGGTTTTCACACAGACTTTCAGGGGCAGAAGTTAGGTTCTGCCTTATGTCACTCATTAAATCATCTATGAGATGACTGTTCCTGGGGGGGCGAATAAATCTTTTCAGATAAATCTTACCTGCATTAGAATGGTGAAAGTCAGTTTCCTCTCCAGCTCCATCCACAGCATTTGTATGCTCTTCAGGCCTGTCATTAGTCATTGTTCTTCGGATGCTCTGGTACCTAGGGTCGGAAAAATTGACTTTATATATAGTATTTGGTACCTATGATCCAATTCTGTCTCCAAGGGAGCTTGCCCCTCTTTTCTGCCACGTAGGTTAATACATATTGACCCTAATTTCTGTATTAACAGTCTTCTGAATTTCTGAAAACCTTTATTAGATTTTTTTTTAGCCACATAGCTGATGAACACAGGTGGAATACAAAAGTCCCAGAAGCCACAAGCAAATTAAAAGGGACACCCACATAAAAATAAACACATATGGCCAGCTGCGGTAGCAACTGTGACCTTATCCACATGCTCAGTCTTTCAGTGGTGAACACAGTGTTGCAAGCACACAGTTCAGACAACAAGGGTAATCCTTACCGGCGATTCAGCTGTTCCATTTGCTGTATGGAATTTGACCTCTGGAGAATCTGAGGGGCTGGGGGCGCTGTGGGTCGCTGCCATGTCGTTGTCCTGTTCACGTGGTCCACATAAAAAATTCGTCCATGGCTGTCAATTCGAGCTTCCCAGTCTAAATAGCAATAAAATACTGTGAACTAGGGTGTGTGTGTGTGTGTTTTATTTATTTTGTTGGTTTAGCTCTGTTATTTTGGTAACTGAATCTACTGTTCCAAGTTTCTGTTTCTCTTTTACAGGATTACTTTGGCACAGAACTTTCTCACTGAAAGGCTAAGAGGCTTAGCTTTTCCCTATTTTGTCCCATAAATCAAATTCCCCACTGTACTTAAAGGTTCTGTACTTAGGTTCTGTGGAATCCATACCTAATCATTTCTATTCCCTTCTCTATTGTATCTCCCACTGATCAGTAATTATCCCAAGGGAAAAAAATATATATATCAGAATATGTACTTTAATTCTCTTGGATTGAAGTAATTCAAGATCCTATCTCTGAGGGTTATTTCCAGTGCAAAAGGCCAAAGGAAGAACCAAAAACGGTGCAAAGCCTGACAACTATCAGCATTCCTTCCAGCTAGTAGTAACAGTAATAGGCCTCAGTGACTGTCCTGGGTTTCCATGTACCTGTGTTAAAGGTAAGTATACCTGTCAGAGAAGATGGACAATTCTAATGATCAAACTCTATTTTCATATACTAAATGCATGTTCAAGAATCGCAAGTCAATTTCTTGTGCAAGCAGTAACTATAATGCTGTCCACCGGTTTTAGCAACAGCAGCTACAATGTTTAGACCACAGAGATAGACCAGGAGAGCAGAGATGAAAGTGCTGGGAACTTTCCTCAAACGCATCTGGCTTCTCAGTGCTCAGCAGAAACCAGATCGTGGCTCACAACACCTAAGATTTAGTTCATATGCATTTTGGGTCAGAAACACCATATGCCCAGTAACTGGTTAGAATATGAGCAAGATAAACACATTGATCATGGCTGGGGGCCACATCACAACATAAAAATATTAAAATATTTTATATACAGAAACAGACATGCCTGATTCTTGGGCACTAGCAGCTGCAGAAAACACACAAACCATTTCTCACATCAGTTGAAAAGCAATCTTTGAAAGCCCAGAAGGCTGCTGGAAGAAACTTTTTATATTTCAAGTCTAGGTGGACACAGTCACTGCAGGAAGATTTTAAAAACCACTGTCAAGAAGCTCATCCTAAGCGACTGCCACTCCACAAGAGGGCATAAAAAGGTTTCGCAGCAGAGAAGAACAACTAACTTCTGCTCTAAAGTATTTAATACTGACAGCCTTAAAACCTCAGGCTTTGTCACTGTATGCATACTATGATTTCTGTCAACTCCTGGAGGCAGCCAAGTGGCTCGCTGCATGGCACTGCAGGGCCTGAGCTGACTCAAACAGGGAGAAAAGGCAGGTTTTGAGCTAAACTCGTTGTGTCATCTCTGCACGACAGCTGTGTATCTGAGCTGGCCAAAATGCAGACCACCCTTCTATCTTTGTGATGCACAATCAAAACAGCCTATTAGTGTTTAAAACATTTCTGGGGTGAACAAGAACTACGTAGGAAAGTAAGCTCAGAGGAAGAAAAGAAAAAGCAGCAGAATAGGACAGGAATAAAGAGAACTGTTTAAGGAGCAAATGTCAATTCCAGGAGAAAAAATTCAAAATTTAGTATTATACTGCAAATTTAAAATAGAAGTTTAAAAATAAACAAAATTACATCAATGCAAAACACAGATCTGTAAAAAATAATTCTGTTTTATTGAGGTGGCAGTGAACTAGCTTTAGAATATGCGCTCACAACTAATTTTTCATATTCACTGATTATAAAAGAGCAGCAGGGAGCAAGATTTTCTCATCACCCCAGTTTTCCAATACAGAGTTAAATCTGTGTTCTGCTGCCAGTCTCCTTCCACTTACCCTCACCAATTGCAGAACAAACACAGTCCTGTTTGATACTGTGCAATAACGATCTATTCTTTTTACAGTAAATATTTGAATTGCTGGTGCTTTAACATAATAACACTTTGCCACGGACTTCAGCAGGTCTGAATTTAACTTTTATTTTTTTTCCTTTTTTGTTTTAAAGTAATATTTGCCATTAGCTGTGTAGCTTTTTTGGTCCTTTCTCCTCTCTTTAAGTATCAAATACTGAATAAATTTTCACTGCCCAAAGTTTAAGCAAGTGAATCAGTCCGACAACTGGGAGCAATGTATTTTTCATATGCATTACAGAAATTACAATTTATCTGTCATTTTAGGCTTATCTAAGTGTTGCTTAATATCCAGGTTTATTTTCATTCAGAGTCTTCACACTGCCTCAAAAACGCAAGGAGAAAACAGACACCTTGAACATAACTCGCAGAGATTAAATGTGTTTTCTATTTCTTTGTAAACCACCACCATACAAGAAGCATTCCGAGATTTCAGAGCACTTGACGTCTTCCCCTCAAAGTGCCTGCCTCTCTGTAAATATCTCTTTGCAAGTCTGTATACACCAGGTATAATTATCATAACACATCCTGATAGTTGGCAGACTGAGCACAATGCCTTTTACAGAACAGCACTAGACTTCATCATCATCACTCCTCACTTAGAACTTCTCAGCTGTTCATTTGCAGTCCTCACATTAAAAAAAAAAAAAAAAGTAATGAGATCTCAGTAGTGAGATCCAGTCAGCCTATCCCCCAATTAAAGTATGAAGAACCTCACTTGGTGGCAGAGCCTCATCCACTCTCTGGTACCGGCTAACATCCTGACGTACCGAAGGCAGAGACCTCAAGGGCTGATGGCCATTGGCTTGAGAACCTAGAATCAAAATACCCATGAATTATTTTTTCAGTCGATGTGGGAAAGCCCTAAAGTAGCCTCTAAAGAGAGCAAGACACGCTAAACCACCTGCAGGACCATGACATTTTAGGATATATCTAATAGTCATCTATTTTGGGGGGCAAAACAAGTGATGTCTACAGTTTCGTGTAAGTATTTCTCTGGGATGCACTGCAGTCCTGGTCCTGAAAATGTCACCTCTCAGGACATGCCACATCCACCTGTGACTAGCAGAATCCAGGGCACAGAGCGTGACAGAGCTATATCCCAAGCAAGGGACAAGGACAAAGCTCCACCTGGCCACCACAGAAACCTGCTGTAGGAGTGGAAGGTGAAACTGTCCATTGACTGTCCTTGCTGCAGCCACACTGATCTGCAAAACATAATGCAACCTAAGAGAGTCCCAAAGGTCTAAAAATTTATGTAAATAAATATACTGACAGTATTTGAAATAAGTATCAAAATTATTCTTTCCCAAAGAGTTATTTATGAAGAGAAGAAATTAGCAGATCCCCAAACTTCTGTAATGTCATGAAAAGGATTCAGAAATTCAGTTTGAATTCACCCACTTGATTAGATCCACCTCAATCCCTGAAGAATTTAAACAGATAAACCATTGTGAAATGTGCTTGGAGACAATCCGTTAGGGACACATTTCTACTTTCAGTGATTTTAGTGAGACATAAGATTTTTAACTGCTGAGTTTCACAGTGTTAACCTGAGTAACACATTTATCTCCTCCCATGGTTCCAGCTGTGCTAGGATGTGTCTACACAGATAAGGGACTGTGAAAGAGAAGATAAACAGCCTAAAGTGTGCGTAAAAAACAATTCTTTTTCCCCTCCTTTCGATTACCCTGCTGCTTTCACATGAATATATGCATATATTCTTCTCCGTGTAAAAATGCCAAAGAAAAGATCCAAATATAAACTCTAGTTTGCATTTCATAGTTTTGGGATCTTTTCCCCCCCATTACCATTTTGATTGGCAAGCACGGTAATATTGCGCAATTTTTGCCTCTTCTTCATCCTCCTTCTCATTACTTTCTCAAGAATTAAAATATATCCAGTTTCAACATAAACATGTCTTGGATATTTCAATTTTGATTTTTTGTTCAGTCTAAAACCCAAGAGTCTCTTGAAGAAGGGAATAAATCTCAAAGGAACAACAATAACAAATCTTGAAAGATAATAAAAATTGAGAAATGAAGATCTTCATTTTCAGATGTTAGTTTTTAAAATAAACTTTACTTGCTGCAGAAAGGGCCTCCTGCAGTTATTACCTCCAGTAGCTCCTTCAACCTGTGCTGTGGCACCCTCACAAGCTGCTTGGGCTCCTTCAGACTCCTCATCCCGAGACTGGCTATTTGCAGCTGCCACCTGCAGGCTTCTTCTTCGCCAGATTTCTTCCGCTTCCTCTTGGTCTTGCAATTCACCTGCCTCAGCCTCCTGTACTTCCTCCCGCGGTAACTGTACTGCCGGCAGGGAACCAGAAGTACTTGCAGAGTCCTGTGTTTCAGCACCAGGCTCAATTCTAGCTGCACTGGTGGCACACGCTCCCTCTTCCTCCTCTTGAGAAGAAAAGGCTGGAGTCTCAGGAAACCTGGCACTTTCAAAAGAACACCGCATTTCAACTGAGGAGCGTCTCACCGTCACGCTTTCGTTGCAAGAGCTATCTGCCCCTTCCACATCACTCTCACCTTCCGGCCGAGTACTAGCCTCACTGACACTTTCCGTGCGGGCCGGATCACTCTGCTCTGTTTCTGATGACATCTGGGAAGGCTCAGACCCTTGATCTATGGATTCCGTTTCACTAACGCCCCTTCTGCTCCCAGCTGTGGCATCGGCAGCTCCCGCGTCCGCACTGCTAGGAGGCTGCTCGGCCTCCTGAGCGGCACACGACTCGCTGCCAGCCTGGTCTGCGGATGCTTCATTATGAGAACCTTGCACGCTTTCCCCTCCTGATAACGGTGACGGTGGACGCTCTGGAAGAGACTCTTGCTGGTCATCAGTGGATGGCAAAGGAGCTTCAGAGGCTGAAACGTTTTCATTCTCTGCAGGCCCCTGAGTTACCTGATCCGATGAGTAACTTAAATCATTTCTTTCAACATTCCTTGTAGCACCATTAAGCATTACTAAACCACCATCATCTTCCAAGGAAGACGGAAAAGCCAGATCTTGATGTAGCTCATGCTCCTCCTCATCCGAGTCAATGTGAAGCATAGCATTAAGTCTCGTGTCAGTAGGGAAGCTACTCCTCAGTTTTGGGGAGGCTCCACGTGGACGCTCACCGCAGGCTGACGTCCCTGGTCTGGGGTGATTACTGTGGTCTATTGCATCCAGATAGTCATTTAGTGAGTCCTGGCGACCTCTAATAGGTGATGATCTTGAAGCACCAGAGGTCAACTCATCCTGGTCTGTCTCCAGAGTTGTACTAGTCCTTAATGGGTGCCTCAGAATTCCTTCTCCAGAAGAATCCTCGAGGACCGGACCATTGGAACACACTGTGGATGTATCATGATGTCCTCCTGGCATGTCCTCATCATCAGAAGGGCTCCCTAAGTCTCCATTTATAGAGTTCACTCCTAGCAAAGTGCCAACTGTTTCTGGTGAAGCATCTGCAGAGACAAAAGATGAATGTGAAACACAATGCAGACACAGACTGTTCATTCTACTTTGCATTACAGAGAAACACGGAAGCAATATAAAAATACACATCTTTCAAGATGTTTGCTTATTTCAATCAGACAACTAAGGGAAGAAAATACAATTAAAACAATAGAGGCATTTACAGCATTCCAGCAGCAATTAGAGAATTTTCTCTGTGTAAGTCTATACTATTTTGTAGGATATAAAAAATCTAAGTGGTGTGAAGTATGACTTTAAAAGAACCCCCATTTTACTCACAAAAAACAAAGCACTGCCAAGCATCTTGCCACACTGCCAGTAAAACCACCCTCACAACCAAGGAACCAGTTTTCTACAGCACATCTCTCATATCCAAAAGTAGGAGTTACACAAAGCCAGGCACTGACACCCACCGTCGTTACACCCTGAGCAGCATGTAAATCAACATCTGAGATCACATGAGGAATCACAAATTGTACACAGATACCAAATTATACACACAACATTTATTTTGAGTTAATTTACAGGACTTTTCCACTGTAAAGAATGAAAATCTATGTAAGTGAAGCACATGAGACATCAGATGTGCTATGGCAATACATACAAAAGGGAAATCAAAATAAGCCATCTGAGAGACAAGATAGGAATGAAACTGGTACAGAGTTGAAAAACCCAGATATGCCTGTAAATGTCTGCAAAAACTTTAACAGTGATGGCTGTGAACTAGAGTGCCTGGCAAGAAACAGGACTGAAGACAAGCAATTTTTTCTAATGGTGACAGAGCAAAAGTAATAATGAGACACAGGACTACATGGCTACAAAAAACACAAGAAGGTTGAATGAAGTTACAAGATAGAGCAGTATCTCACTACCAAAGAGACTATACCAAGACTAATGAAGGAGAATCTAAGATCAAAAACATGTAAATAGACATGCATGATGTGACTAACATGTAGCTCTGCTAGCTGCCATCAGAACAGGAAAAAAGGGAAATAAACCAATTGCCTAATGGAAGCTTCTATTCTCATAACCATAACCGATCTTCGTGGTTCTAAGCAGGACAAAGTCCTGTTTAAGGGGGACAGGGCAGAGTGATGTGCATGTACACTAGCAGGGGAGGAGAGCACAGATGGAAGCCTACTTGCGAAGAGAAACGATGAGTTTTACTACCCAATCTATCCCATAAAATGAGACTCAAAAGCAGACTCACTTAAAATTTATCTAACAAAACAGGAAAACAGTACAATAAATGTTGGTGGTTGGGAATCACCATCTCCAAAGCAGTACCTGACATATGTAAATTTTGAATCCCAACAGAAAAACCTGTAATGAAGCACTATACACAAGTAAGTATCTTATCATAGAAAATCCTAATACACATAGGAACTGCTTCTATGCAACCATCTGGAGATCCACAATATTGACAAATTCTCACCTTCATGAACAGAAGATGTGATTTCCACTTTGAATTGGAGATATCCACTCACATGATCAGCTGGGAGCCTTCTCCCAAGATTGTAGCTGAGAATCTGGTCTCTGCAAAACCAAAGATATTGGGTTTTTTTACAATTTCTACTGGTATTTTTTTCCAGTGTTTTGTATCAGAGACTTTTATCATGTAAGATTCAGCATGACAGAATGTAATTTCCATCATAATCTTAAAATCAGCGACATACTCTGGCTTGTATGGAAAAGCACAAACACCAACAATGGTGTAAAATACCTTTACTTAACAGATAAAATGACCTAAAAAACTCCTTTGATCACTTCCAAATATAGATTGTGCCCCAGCAATTCTTACACATCCCTAAACCTCTTAAGTCCTAAAGAAATCAAACTGCAAAGGATCCTCTTTACCCTAACCTCCTCCTACCCTAAACACAAAATACGCTTTAGATTTAACAAACCCTTTCATTTTTAAAAGCCTTCTGCCCCCTTGTGGGTTTTACTCTATACAAAATTCCCAGATAGTTTATCCCATTTTAGTTCTCATTCAATAAAGCACTACCGCATTCCTATTTAGAAAAGCTGTTAATGCTCAGATTTATCTTCAACTACTTTCTCAAGGGTTACTGAATTCAGTGGGACTCAAGACTTGATTAAGCACTTGTATCAGCTCGGGGTGTAGGATCAGATCCTAGGCTATACATTCTTACTAGGCACAGCTAGAAGCCCCAGTCCCCCTCAGCACAGCTGTGACAGCTGAAGGGAGAGGAGGGGGCTGCTGAAGACCTCCATAGGAAATCACTGCTATTTATGCAAATGAATTTATACTGGTATAAACACCTCTCCCTTACTGGGAGCACTCCTACTGCAGTGAGTGACAGACAAGTGAATGCAATCAAATGAATCAATACTAGGTAATTCCCATGCTCATTTACAGCTTTCCAAGAAATATAAAGCCACTTGGCCATTTCATGATGCAAACTTGCGAGCTATGCCAACAGCTAAAAGTGGGACAAAATTTTGGTGCAGTCTGTCTAAAAACAGCTGGTTCTGGACTTCACCTTTACAATCATTAATATAAGAAGTGCAAGTTAAGCATATGATGTATTCTAAATCCTTGGACTTTGTTCATGTAATTTTTCAAGTTAACTCAGTGGAGTACTTCAACTGTCCTTGACACCACCAACATGAAAAAGAAGAAAGTGAAGAGGTTTTACTGGCACGACAAATAAAAAAGACAAAATAAAGGACAATTAGCCATTCATTGTGTTTGGTACATTTCTATTTCATGTCTATATTAACTATGCCTTTCTTTTGCTAAACTTCTGATGAAATGCATGTCTTTACAATGTCTACGAAGAAGGAACTCTTGACAACTGATTGACACACAAAAACTGTAAATGGACTAATAAATTAGAGATGAAGAGACAAAAATATCTGCAAGACTGATTTAACGTCAGTTCTAGCAGCAGTATAGCAAACCCAAGCTGAATACTTATCTATATTCTTGCTACATATTATTACAGACTCAGTAGAAAGTTGCTCGTCTGTGCCAGTAAGCCAGAAAGGCTGTGCTGCACCAGTCTCCTATGTGATGAGTCTCCCTGATGAACCTAAGCTAGCATTAAGAATGGATTCATTTACCCAATTGCATGTCTCTCCAATAGTCTCTGAACGGGTATGGTTAACTTCCCAAGAAAACGCTTGATGATCGGACGACTCTTGGCAAATTTGTCTTTAACTTCTATCTCCAGGACATCTGTTAGAAGTGCAACAAAAGAATATTTCTGGAAGGAAAGAACATATTTGACAGCATATCAATATACCTTTATTCAGAAAGTATGTATATGATTACTACTAGTGTGCAGTGAACTCCAAAAGCAATGACTGATTACAGCAGTTTCCGTAACATAAAATAATGTCAACATTTATTAAGCACTGTATTTTGACGTAACTAGCCTTTTAAGAAACTCATACCCCTTTACTGTTGCCTGAAAATAATTGCTCAGTATGAAAGTGCATGAGATAAAAGGACTTCCATGATCTAAGTCAGAAAGAAGAAAGCAATGTATCCTAGGGCTTGCTTCAATTTGGGTATTAGGAAGCAAAGAGAGAATTCCTGGTTATACAAGAGTAGCCAGGGTCAACGCAGGAGGAAGAGGAAAGCGTCTCACTCTAGGCTGTACTTAGTGAACTTCCCTTACAACCCCATGCTCTATGTTAATTTTTTGTATGAATGACAGGAAGTCAAAAGGGCAACGTGTATACAGTATATTCAGGAGCACCGTAACGAAAGGAGGAGAGTTTTCTATAAGTTTTTGCCCCAAAGTTCACAAGTCTTCTCAGCAAGCTCTAACAGAATCTTTTTCTGCACTTGGGGCCTTTAAGCAACATAATGCTAATTTATAAAAGATCTCTTGATGTCTGGTAAGATCAAGGGAACACGGTCACAGTTAGTCTCTTCAGCCTAAGATCAATTTTCATGCGTTTTATGAACACTTCATCTTCGAGATCTGTGCTGATCTGTCAAGTCTGCCCGAAAAAGGCCAAAAGATTCAAAAGTGGTACACGGCAAATATATGAGCAGGTATGTTGGCAGACACACACACTGTGATAACAAATTCCCTTAGGAAAGCAAGCTTCAGAAGCAATGATTTCCCCCCACCCCCCCCCTCTAGATTTTAAAACATTTTAAACTAAAAAGTGTAGTCTAATCTACTCGGAAAAGCTGGGGTCATCTGGTTATACTTCCACTATCTGCCATCTTTAAGACCTCCAAGCCAATTGCAACCTGAGTACAACACCTAATACTCTTCTGGCTACATAGCTGAAGATGTACTGAACAAGAACAAATGAAGGAAAAACTCTTCAGCTCAGCCGTAGACATCAGCTAAATATATTCAAAGACAGCAATTCAATTGGGTCAGGAATAAAAACACTTCCTCATGCTGGGCAACTATCAGAGCTGAATTCCTGTGATAAACAGAACTTAAAAATTCATCACTCTCAGCTTGCTATAAAATTGCAAATTATTTTGCAAAAAGGAGTAAAACAAGATCAATTCTGCACCACCAAGACAGCATATGTAATGGGATCTGCTGTCATCAGAGCACTGCTACAGGGAAGATACAGCAGTTAAAGCAAGCTGATATCATGCGTGCACCAGTGAACATTATCGCTCTTCTAATAAGCTTCAAAACCAAGGAGAACTGGAGGAGAAAAAAGGGAGGAAATAAGAGCAGATTTTCTTTCTACCTACTGCATAGCTGGATGGGCAGACAGAAAGCTGAAGATTAAGGCTCTGCCTTTTTTTTTTTTTTTTAAAAGACTTTAAGACTTGCACACAACTACAGACTTCCCCGCAGCCAAGCACCAGAGAGCAGCGTTCTGTCCTGCTTTACTGCCTGTTTGGTTTGATTATGATTTGTGGGTACGTTTTCCAAAGTCCTCTCAATTTTCCAATCTCCCCACAGAATAGATCAGCATGCATCAAACACAGTACAGGCATCTGCTCATTAGAAAACAGGCGCAGATCAAGAACACTGCTTACCACTCCCAAAAGGGTTGTGCCAGTGTTTTCACCCTGTTCCCCACAAACATCTATCTTCAAATCACAGCCTGGCTCTTCTGTGCTTACAGTGGGACCCAGTTCCTTCACCAAGACCTGCACAGCTCACCCAATATAAACACATCTGGAATGCTGGATCCTGCCAAACCTACAGCAGCGCATGTGGGGGTGACACGACAGAGCACCCGCTCTGCCCGACAAAACCGAAAGCTTGCCACCTGCTATGCACAATGAGAATATAGCTTCCAAATAAGAGTCGTTGCAATCGCCAGGCATAAATGCTCACTTATTGTACCTTTTCTTACAGGGTCTTCTCAGAACATATAATCCATTTTAATTAATTTCTGCAATTTGAAGAAATCTACAGGGCTGTTGAGTGAGTTCAATGCTTGTTAGCAGAGAAGGCAATGAAAACCTCCTAACAGTGCAGCTTAAATACACAGATGATAGCTGTTTCTATCCAACATCAGGGTTCCCAAAATTACTACAATTTCTGTGTCAGTTCCAATAACTAGCTACAGAATAAGCTCATGGCCCTCAGAGGGCAAGGACTAACGCATTAAGGAGAAAATACAAGCCTGGTACACTGCATCAGCTGGCAGACAGCTCTCAAAAGGGATACATTACCTCTCTGTGCCAAACAGGATTAGTTGTGTTACTGATGATAGTCGACCTTCTTTCCTGGCCATGATGAGCAAATGTAGGAAACGTACTTTTCTTGCCTGGCTGAATGGACATCTTTAGATAAGGATCAGGGTTGAAGAACATGCCCTTTTTAAGTCCAACTGCTCTAATATCTGTAAAGCAAAACAAGAAGGAAGGAAAAAGGAATTGAGTAAAATAAAGCTGGTTCACAAAGTAGTGCATTCCTAAAATATTACCCAGGAAATCGATTCACCATAAACTACTAAATAAAGCAACCTAAAATTACTCATAAAATAACTGGATCCAGTGTAAGAAGACAGTTAAGGCAGGAAGCCAATTGTTTTCCCAAGAGACTCTAGGGAGGAAAGGTATCAACACACCACTTACACTTCAGCCTCCATTCATTTGTAAAATAAAAAGCACGGACTTGTAACTCTCCTGCAAATGTTTGTTCTCGGTACATAAGGTATTTCCACGCTCAAAAAGAAAATCCAAAAGACAAAAAACCCCTTGCACAACACTTGCTCTGTTTCTGAGGAAGGGGAAATGGTAAAGATAAAAAAATATATGGGAGGTAATGTAGTGAACTCACACCTCCCCTAAGTTGAGACTTTGATAAACATAACTTCAAATACTCATTATCAAGTTTGCCCTGGGCTATGATGCACACTTTCTCCCAGCTCAGAAGATGACAACCTACCCACATAAAGAGAGGCCAAGTTTTCTGTAAATGCTTCTTTCTTCCTAGGGAAACCTCAGTACTGCAGCCTTCTGACTTGCAACAATAAACAATAATTTCCCCAGGTGCATATTCTCTTTATGTTGGATGTAGCACATGATTTTTGTGCCTTTCTCCATTAGGCACTCCAATATGCTGCAGCCATCTTCATGACTCTAATGCAACTGGCACACATGTACTAAGATGAGCAGTTTATACGTGCAGGCTAAATTCACTGCACTAAAATGAAATGCCACACCTGTGAATTCAGTTAAAAAAATCCTACCTAATGTTCAAAATTAAGCTGCATAGTAGAAATACCACAAAATAAAGGGTAATTGCCTTTAAAACCAACAACTTTGCACATACAAATAAGCAACCAAAAAATGCTTTGGGAAATACCTTGCAGACCTAACATTCAATACACCTTTCAAAACTAATTGAGTCACAACCTTCTACTAAACACAATAGACGTCTCAGAATTCACAAACCTATTATTTTTACAGTGCTTTGTGCGAGTCCATACAATCGAGCTCTATCCCAGGTATCTGCTGCAAGACCATTTGAAAAAGCGGTGTTTTTTTCTGCTCTACCTCTACAATCTCTAAACGTTCTCCATGTCAGCTCTTCAAGATAGAGAAGCAATTTTTTATTGTCTTTGCTCAAGCTGAATAAGCTTTAGTGTCACACAAGACTTGCCATGGAATAAAATGCTAATCAAAACAAGTGAAGCTGGTGAACTGTATCCCTACAGCTATTTGCTGTACTGACAGCTTAGCTCTGTTACAAGTAAAGACTTTTTTTTCCTTTCTCAACTACAATTTGCAGCCATTGGTTTTTTACTACTTCAAAGCAAGGGAAACAGCTTACATTTCATTTAGAGGCTAAGTTTTCCACTCTTCAATCTGAAAGCAACTGTCCCTTGTGCAAGCTGGAATTTTTTCATGCTGGGATCCATCATATCCATTGCTTACACTCCTGGAGATACATGATTCTGGCTTGTTTTCAAAAAAGGGAAGTTCTAAAGAAAGCTATCTTTCAAAGCCACTAGAGTGTGCTCCTACAGAGGCTAATGAGTGTTCTATCTTTTAAGTTATTTATAACAGTAATTTCTTTTGGTAACGGTGATTTGTAAAACACACTAATGTTGTTTTACCTGATAGGGTAAAGCTGACCAACTTCCTAGAGTGCTGGGCTCCAGAAGCACCTTCATCCATGCCTTCTACTCCCATCTGAAGAGGAAGAAAAAAAAAAAAAACATACCACAGAAGTTTTCATCTGCTTTGTACATCCTTGAGGATGATACTGCAATGTAAGTTAGTATGCAGGGGAAGAATCTGACCAACCACTGCTTATAACCACAGACAGGCAAAGCTTCAACATTTGTTTCTAGGAAAATATCTATTATTTATGCTATGCAGTGCTAACACACCAGTCCATGGAGTGTTCCGAACAGAACGTGTATAGGCTGACATTAATAATTCTCTGATTCTGTGAATAAATGTGCAGACACTATTAATTGAAGAAAAGGAGACTGTTTTCTTATCGGTTTCCCTTTTGCAAAATAAAATCAACAGTATGGATTGGTAATATATACCAAATCACAGAGCCAGCCACTGACACAATGTGTAACTTTGGTCACTTTCCACAAATACGTAACTTACATAACTTACTGTGCAACAAAAAAAGCAGAGAGATCAAAGAGAGGCTAGCAAAAGACTTCAGATCTATGAACAAAAGCTCATTTTGAACAAAAAAGTGCAGATAAACATCAGGTTTGGTTTCTACTGAAACCCCTTGTTAGAGTAAAGCACTACTGCAACATAAAAAGTTTCTCATGTATTAATGTCTTATTAATGTCTAGCTCTTTCAACTAGCAGAAGAATTTGTCTTTCAAGACAGAGATGTGCATCCAGCTGAATAATCTATCATGAAGACATCAATGGTGCTATCTTTGAAGTCAAACGTTCCTCCAGGTAGGCACTGAATGCGCTCCCAGGCAGAAGAGGTGACAGCCTGATGAAAAAGCTTCAGCCAAACACAGTACTGGAGATTAAGGCTAGTGATAGAACAGAAAATCATCTGATCTTCTGAATGATAAAAAAGTAAGCTGAATAAAAGCTCACACATCTATGTGTGTAGATGAAGTACGTCAAGCAGTTTGAAGCAGCTGAACAGTTGTCCAAAGGCAGAACAAGAAGTTACCAGATTGACAAATGATTTTTGGAGCTATGGTAGGTTCCACAGCTTTGCATTAACCAAAACCATAATCATTCCTTTTTATAATGTTTTAGGCTATTTAATATCATTAGCTTTCAAATACTTCCCATGATAATCAGCAAACAGATTGGAATTCCAGTGGAATTTCTCCCGTTGCAAAGCCCTAAAACTTCCTGCGTAACAAGCAGCCAAACAAAGTGATAAAGAGACAGCAGTGACGCTGGTGCCTGACATCCCCACGGGCCCTGGGGATCTTGTGAGGAAACAGACCGTGCCAGCATGCGCTGCCGCTCACCACCCAGCCCATTCCCTTCCCTTCTCTCACTGCTGGCCCCACGACACACCTCCATCCTCAGGGCAAGACGTTTCTCAAAGTGCTCACATTCTGCCGCTTTCCCACCCAGCGTGACATCGTTATATGCACACAGAAGTGGTGACAGGTGGTAGTAAAATTACGAGGGCGTCAAAAGCAATGGGTTAATTCCAGCCAGATCCGAGTCCCCTCCCTCATCTACAGACACTTTCCCTGGAAGCATCAAGGGGCACACCCCCCTGGGATGGTGATGCTGCCCAGGAAGAGCCAGAGGAACAGTATGTAATTCAGTGTACTCTTTTGGGCTTATTCTAACATGCATTGCTTTCTTCTTAAAAATGTTATTCATCAACACAAAGGCCTTCCTCATTCTATACCTGTTTTTCTGCTACATCACTGACTGTTTGAATAATGCTCCTTACATTGCTAATCATCACTTTGTTTTACAGAAAATAGGATTTGCCCACAATTCAGCTCTAAAAAATGACTTGCAACAGTGTTCCCTAGCACTTTCATGGTTTCACTATTTGCCCTTTTCCTGTTCCATTATGATCTGAACAGCAATTTCAATTTTTCCTGTGCCAAGTACAAAATTCCATCCTAGCAAGCATGTTTAGATGTTTGCACTAAAAGGCTATCTCATCTGGTGTAATGCAGTATTTCAAAATGCTGGACCAGGCCTTGAGTTTTCACTAGTTCAAATGAACACAACAGAATGTGAGTTGCTTATCCAAAATTAAGATGAACTGAAATGCCTAGTGTGATATGCCATCAATATGTGGAAAACCAGGAACACGTCTCCCACCAAACCATGTTATGCAAAGAATGATCCAAGCAGGCAGGAAACATTGCAGCTTAAAAAAAAGAGCGCGGGCATGCCATGACTCTCTTACTACTTCCACGAACAGCTTTTCTGTACCAACAGACACAACCAGTGCCAAGAGAACAAAGTATTCTCTGCTACACAGTGCCTACGCTCAACACAAACTATGAAATGGTGTGAGGTATTAACATACCATAACAGGTATATTTACGCATAGCCAACCCAGTATGCTATTTTTAGGAAGTCACATCTAAGCTGTCATACGACTTCTCATCAAGGAAACTAACAGCTCTTACTGGAAGTCTGTACTGGTAGTGCAAACAAAAGTGTTTATATAAAATTACACATTCTAGCAGGAGTGTAAATTCTGTAGAATACCCAGGATCCTGTGCTACCTTTGAAGGGAAAGCAATTTAAATAGCGACCACAGGTTAACCCCTCCAGATTGAGCAGTGACTGGAAGACAGGTCTTGAGGTAGCTTCCAAGTAAATAAATGCATACTCAAAGACAGAAGTCCAGATGTCCTGTTGTACAACGAATCTCAAATACTGGTGGCTAGTATGACAAGGTCAAGAAGACAAAAAAGTTCAAATGGTTTCTCCATCCAGTATAATCATCCTGCTTCTCAGTAACAATATAGTGCAGCACATAGCCCATTTTAAGGGTAACTTTGTGGAAAAATTCTACTATGGTGTTAAAATGCAAACTGTAAAGCCTCAAAATGAAAGCAAGCAAAATCAAATTCTTAGAATAAAGATTTCAGCTAAGCTCAGTGTTTTTAATAGTGTTTTATAGCGAAAAATAGAAAACCAAGAAAAACATTTACCAGTTTTAATTATTTTTGTCAGGCAATGCAGTTTCGTTCAAAAATTGCAGTTAAAAGTAAAACTAGGAGACTTATCAACAGGTCTGTCTGACAGTTAATATTATCATCTTCTGAAAATACAATGAACAAATAGGCTAAACTTACCATCACAGCAGGGTTTTTCACAGTGATACATGGAGTAGTAGCTCGGAGGGCTCCACTAACACCATGGTAGTACTTAAAACAGATCTTTATTTCAGCTGGAAAAAAAAAAAAAAAAGCCCACAAAAATCACATTAAACACTTCATGACTGACCACAGGCCAAAGAGACAATGAAAGGAACACAGATACAGGGAGTCCCAGTTCACTTCTGTTCACAGTCCAAGTATGGGCAGTTCACTGGCATATTCTTCGCTGTAAAAGCACAAAATAACTGTTTCAAGGGAAGTATGAATATAGTTTTTAAAGAGCTGATAAATACTGTTTTTATTTTTTTTTTTTCCATTTTAACTAGCTTTCTGCTCAGTCAGTAAGAAAACAACAGCTTGTTTTCTCCAGCTCTTACAGCCAGATGTCCATGGTCACTATTACATAAGAAATGTCTAAGTATTCACAGTTCACACGAAGCCACTTCTGTATGTTTTGTATGGGTCCAGAGGGAAGAAAATTAAACAGGTATTGATCTCTGAAAACAAGTTCATTTCAACATAGTAGAGTTAAGGTGAATTACTATTTTCAGCAAATTTGTAAGTGGAAAATAAAAAAATAATTAAGATATTTTATTCTTAGGTTATTTAATCATATGAAAATGGTACCTCTCTCTACAGCCTTATACACAGAGGTGGTAATAAAGGTATTATATCTTTTTAATCTGTGAAACAGGTAAAGCAACTGATTTTTTTGCTTCTCAAATGGAAAGTAGCATATTTTAATGAATGCAGTAACACATACCATGCTGACAGAATAAACAGTGTGCCCTTTCAAGGCAGTTTGAACAGTTTGTTTTGGGCTTTATTTTTTATGAAAGCAGTAACTCTCAAATGCACTACTCACCCCTATGGTAACTGTGATAGAAGGGAGAAGAGCGCAGGTAAACATGTGCTAAGTGCCCCAAGCCCCTGAGCAGCAGCGGCTCAGCGACACAGCTCGCACTTCTTGTTTCTAACCTTAGGCAAGGGCACAGAGAACAGAAAGGCTGCAAGCATCCCACCACTCTCTCGCGGCCAAAACCAGGAGTGCAGAGAAACAGGGTAGAGACACAGGATGTATTTCCTGGATTATAATATATCCCTCTTTGCTGTCAGTGCTTTTTTTTTTGCTCTGAGTTGATTCTTACAACAGGGAAGAATACAGAAATCACTAGATCACCTATTCTGATCATCATTGTGCTCTTTGCTGCCCCTTCTCCCTTTCACAAAGGGAATGTTGACTTACAGGCTCCAGAACCATATACAGCACCCCACCATGAGCCTCGCCAAAGCTGAATGGAGAGGCAGATGCAGGGTTGCGGCGATCATTCCTGCAGTCCTACAAGATGCTCCTCTTGCTTATATGTGCAAGAAATGCATTACAAATCCTTGTCAGAGGTTACATAGCGAGTTGATGTCGAGGTGTGGGACACACAGCTTACATGCCTTTCATTCTGAAGTCAGCAGGGTCAAAATTGATTTTCTCTGGCTGTGCCTAGCTTGGTAAATCATCCTGTATGGATCTTCAATTGCCTTTATCCATTACACTAATTCTCATACCATACACAGATGAAATC